CCCATAATAATTACTTTGCCTGAAATACGTATGTATGTTCATGGCTTCTAACAAAGTTCCATGCAATTAATTTGTTTATTACCTTCCTAGGTATCAACACTAAATGCATAATTTTAAAATCATGATTCAATCTTATATATTAATTTGTTATGTCGCATTTTGGTACCATCAGCATGAGATTACATTTGTTTTAATACAATAATTCAATTTAGGTAAGTCTTTGGAGAACCATATTTTCCATGTATATTCCCCTTTAGCTAACTTTAGCTTCCTGGATGTGACGTTCATTTTATACAACTATATCACTGATCATTGAATATTTTATTAATTTCTCTTTACCACTAATCAGATTCCATACCAAAGGATTCATTTTGTTTATGCAGTTACCGATATTTTTAAATGCTGTCATTTTCAATCTCTATGGGTTAATCTTGTTTTGTATTAATTTATTCAATACTTTGGTATAGCATAGGATGTTTACCATTGATAATTTTCAATTACGATGGAATTGGAGATATATATTTATCATAATTCCAACCTTAGCCTTCATTTTAGCTACTGAATAGGTGTTTATACAACTATATCTCTCCCAGTAGTTAGATATTTTATTAATTTTATATTTTTACTAATCAGTTCATACCAAAATTCTGTATGTTTACGCTTTACAGTACCGATGTCATTTTAAATCATAATAAGACATAAATCACTTTGGGTGAGAAATGTGTTTTATGTATTAATTTGTTATTAATACTGGTACCATGTATAGAGATTGTTGTTTATGCAATTATTTCAATTACGGATGAATTGGAGAATAACACATGCTCCTTTTAGCTTCACGATTAGAGGTATAATTTAAATATAATTTTACAAGATACAGAGGTCCCAAGTAAGTAAAATATCAAAGTATTTTTTAAATGGAACACCCTGTATTATTACATTTTAGTTTCACGATTAAAATAAAGGTAAATTTGATTAAGGTTTATTATACTTAACCTTTACTGTTTTGAAGCTAATTTTGTGAAATTGCAGTAAAAATGTTAAGACTTCATTTCTCCAAGGGTATCAAAGTTTTTAATACTAAATATTTACTGAAGTTTATTTATTGATCATTTATTGTGTTGCAATAATAAAATAATATCTTATACAGAGTGTCTAAAAATTATTTTAAATAATTTTGTTTAAACACCAATAACTTCTTTTAATTTAAATGGAACGCCTAGTATATTTTAGGAGAATCAGATGCACAATTTAATTGTCTATCAAATTGTATTATACCATTTTTACCTATCTTTTCAAGTTTTCGTAGAAAATGCATTTTCTGGCACTGACTCATTTATCAATATACCCATGGAATATTGACATATTAGATTGTTTTAAAGCAACAATGTAATAATAAAATAGGTTAGTAATATTATCGTTTTAGCAAAACGATAATAATACTAGCCCATTTGTATGCAAAAAGTAACTAACTAACTAAATCTTTATAAAAGAGTATACCATTAATTAAATATAACACCATTATTTCCGCCCATATACTCATTAATTACATACTTAATTGTGTTCGTTAATAAATTATTCTAAATAAATGTGGATTTGAGTCAGAAATCAATATAATAATAAGTTATCAAAATTAACGTCTCTGTTGTTATAAATAAGCATATATTAAAAAATAAAATATCATTCTAAGGTGTTACTTTTTACCACACCGTCAAATACATATACAAAACATAGTTTTTTAGTATTTGGGGCAATTATTATTAATCAACGCAAACAGTCAGTTAATGTAGTTTGAATACTAGAATCATATTAATTGGTTCTCTTTAACAAATATTTAAACAGTTTTTTTTTTATTTTTTAGTGAAATAACCGAATTATATCGACAATATTAGTATCTGTACTCTTTAAAAATTTAGTACATCTTTAAAAATAATCTAAAATGTCAAGATTCCATGGGTATATTGATAAATAAGTTCTAAATTACAAGAAAATGCATTTTCTACGGAAACTTAAAGAAATAGGTAAAAAATGGTATAATACAATTTGATAGAAAATTAAATTGAGCATCTGATTCTCGTAAAATATACAAGGTGTTCCATTTAAATTAAACACGTTATTGTCGTTTAAAGCTGATAATTATTTACAATAAATTTTTAGACACTCTGTATAAGGTAGTATTATTTTTATTATTGCAACACAATAACTGATCAATAAATAAACTTCAATAAATATTTAGTATTAAAAACTTTAATACCCTTGGAGAAATGAAGCCTTAAATTTTTTACTGCAATTTCACAAAATTGAAAATATTTCAAAAACGGCAAGGTTTAAGTATAATAAACCCTAATCAAATTTATCTTTATTTTAATCGTAGAAACTAAAAATGTAATAATATACAGGGTGTTCCGTTTAAAAAAAATACAACTTTGATATTTTTTACTTGTTTGGGACACTCTGGATCTTGTAAAATTAATTTTAAATTGTACCTCTAATAGTCCTTCATCGAACCCAAAACTTACAATTTGTAAAAACCTCATCGTTTAGCTACAATACTCCGTGTCGTATGTAGTGAACAACCCTGTATTTAAAATCAGAACTCAAAAAATGGGTGGTTTCCACACTGGACGTTCTTGTACAGACAACATATGTGTGTTACAACAAATAATTGATAAGAGGAGAGCTCTCGAAATTTGGACACGCATCTGATATTTTCTAGATTTAGAGAAAGCCTATGACAACTGTGCCTTTGAAGAAATTATTTGAAATCTTGGTTGAGACAAATATGAGTAAAACATATAGGTATCAATGCAATCTAGAATATGTACAAAAATCCAAAAAGTATGATCAGACAGGGGAAGTTCCTATTGGAATCCTTCCTGACATCGAAAGGACTCAGACAGCAAGTCGTACTTACAGTAACTGTTATCCTCAAAATTTCATTTAAATCGCTAAAAGCACTTGGAAGAATTATAATAAATCGAAAAAAATTAAGATTTTAATCCCCTGTAGCACAAAATCTATAACCACGTAATATATTCTGTGCGTATTTATTCTGTGTTATTGCGTGCTACAAAGCACAGAATACCTATATAATATTCTGTGCCTGTTTCTCCGAAACAAAGCAGAATCGGACTCATGTTGATTTAAATAATAAATCTTATTTTTACATGAGGAATCTCCTCACGAGAGATGGCACATGTTTTTTGAAACACCCTGTATACATATTGTTTCAAAATAATTGTAAAATTATCATTTATTTGAATAAACAATAGTTTTTATCTATTTATTGAAATCTGGAGACAAGTTGTAATATCTAATAGTATAATACCCTTGTTTATATAGGCTGTTTCAAAAAACATGTGCCATCTCTCGTGGGGAGATTCCTCACGTAAAAATAAGATTTATTTTTCATATCAACATAGGTCCGATTCTGCTTTGTTTCGTAGCTACATTTTTAATATTTTTTCGATTTATTGTAATTTTCTTCCAAGTACTTTTAGCGTTTTAAATGAAATTTTTAGGGTAAAAGTTACTATAAATACGACATATTTTACTGTTAAAAAAGTCTCGACATATTCACCAGGGACGTGCATATGGGTTGTCATTGGAATATTTTTCTAAAAAAAGCACGTACGCATGTAGTTTAATGCTGATTAAAAGTTGTTTCTTGGTCTTTTGTAGCGGCCTTCTAGATGAGATAAACGCAATTTTATTAATTTTTTTGATCCAAGTCAATAGCAACCTTTAAAATTTTTTAATATCATTAACTTGTGAAAATTTTAAGTAAGTACCCATTGTTTCATCATTAAAAAATATGAAAAAAAGTTTCTATAAACATGGATACGAAAATGCATAGATTTAGAGTTACAGGATGTTAACGCTTTTCAAAATTAGGTTTTTTGTAATTATTTTAAATATCATTATTTTTTATTTGAAATTGCTGTAGGTTGGACTAATAGTAATAATAACTAATATTAATAATATTAATAAATTAGGTAAAATATGTGATTTATTAATTTTGTTTTTATTTTAATTTTATTAAATGTGGTTTAATAAAATAGCGTTTATCTCATCAAGAAGGCCGAATTCAACAAAATATCAAGGGATATCTTTTAATTGGCATTAAACGGCCTACACAATTTTTATATCAAAAGAAAAAAGTCAGTGGCGCACATGTTTATTTTTTAAAAAATATTCCAGTGATTACCCATTTGCACGTCCCTGGTGAATTTATCTCCACTTTTTTAGCATTAAAATATGTCGCAGTTATAGTAACTTTTACCCTCAAAATTTCATTCGAAACGCTGAAAATTACTTGGAAGAAAATTATAATAAATCGAAAAAATATTAAGACTTTAACACCCTGTAGCTACGAAACAAAGCAGAATCGGACCTATATTGATACGAAAAATAAATCTTGTTTTTACGTGAGGAATCTTCCCACGAGAGATGGCACATGTTTTCTGAAACACCCTGTATATTAAAATCAAGGGTAATACCAATAGTTTTCTTAATTATAGTTAAGTTATAATATATTGCCTAGACCTAGAATAATATCAGAGAAGAGATACAAATCTGTTTTCTATGGTAATTTAATCTAAGGACGAAACCAGAGGCCGAAACATATTTCTTCTTTTATATAACCAGATAGCGTCACTGAGGCCACCTGATATTTTCCCGCAATCATAAAACCAAACAACCATTTGATAAACAGGCTTCTTGACAACAGCACTCACGAGATCCATTAACAAGGGCAGTACTAGAAATAACAACCCTCGACTAGATTACCTATCTGTTAACTTTTTTGACATGTCGAATAAATTTAAAGGTTCTGGAATGTAGAGTCACGTCTCCACTGAAGAGGTTGCTGACAAGTTGACTGTTTATCTTTCACTTCATTCTTTCGCTTGTTTATCAATGCCTTTCTTAATAACGTACTGATTATTTATTTATTTATGGCCATTCATAATTTTAGAATAATGTTTTGTTGTTTTTTTTTTCAGATACACGATTGGGATGTTCAAAAAAGGTTACTCGAAGACTTTCGAAGTGGATGACCTGTACAATCCCATCAAGAGTGATAGAAGTATGATTTTGGGTGATAGGTTGGAAAGGTAACTGTTTTCAATTTATAGTTCGTTCACATCGGTGGCGGAGACGTATTTAGAACCAGGCGTATTGAATCTATCCAGCTGGAATTCAATCAGAATTTGATAAACTGTGAAATAAATTTAAGGAATAATTTCCTTGCAAAATGTAACTGGTGTGGTGTTTATTGCCGTTTGATTGTTTCAATGTTTGAGTGAAACATAAAAAAACAATGCCTACAACTGAAAAATTAGTCAACGAATAATAAAATTAATCGCAAAAAAACTGAAAATTAATGTAATCGCAGAAAAAAATGTGTAAATTTTGACATTATTTGTCAATTTTAAAAAGACAACAAATATTATTAATAATTTTAATACAAGTATATAATTAATATATTTCTAAAAAATCATAATACCGGGTGCGTTTCAAAAGTGGTTCATCCCTATAAGTTTTTTTATTTTTTCAGATAAAAAATCGAGATTTGGTATCTTAGTAATAACATAAATTATTAGGTATTGATTGGTATAGTCAATTGTTTTCGATCACTTCCTGTTTCACCGGAAATGACTACGACTTTTGATTTTTAAATGGCACCCTCGGTATTTTGTTACTTTATTCGATAGTAAATATCACTCTGAATAGAGTGACATATCATATGTCAACTTTTGACATTTTCGAATAGGAAATCTTACTTAAATTGCAACATGCGATTCATAACGACAATTTGACTCGAAATACCAAGTGTGAGGTACTAAATTATTCGTAAAAAAGTTTTTTTTTCAAATTAGCATATTTGAAAAAAACTTGAGCCACCCTCGTTCCATTTGAAAAAATTGAGAGATTAAAAATACAATTTGGGCTTCTTTAAACCGGCCAGGACAAGACACTAAAAACTTTAGACGTTCAAATAGGGAACCTTTATTCTTCCGCAAATATATCCATAGGATTAGATCCATGGGCAGATAGTCAGGCGGTCTCGACGGCCAACGTCTGGGATCTTGGTTAGCTATTCAATTGTTTTTGAAATTGGCTGCAAAAATTTGCAGATAACTTCAGCGTTCAGAGGCGGTGGAAAAATTTTTGAGTTCCATTAAGGGCATATCATCAATAAGGGGCCCAAAGCCGACTAGTTAAAAGTGGCATACTTTTAAAAATTCTGTATTTCGAAGGGGATTATAACAAAATATCAAGTGTACTATATTTTTGGAACGGTAATTTTAAATTATTTTCAGTTAATTAAAAATATAGAGGGTGTCCCAAATAAAAAATCATTTTTTCTGTTGATAACTATTAAATTATTAATTTTAAAAAAAGTATACTTAAACCATTAAATTCTACGTAAAATTTTCCATTTTCCGTTTTCCATAGTAAAAAAGTTACAGCGATTTGTTAAAAATGCACATTTTTGAAAAACACCCCCTAACTCCGAGACGGTAACAGATATTGATGTACGGTTTTCACCATCATGTTTTTGATGAAAATTGAGCTCCAGACACCGATATTAGTTTTCGTCTATCTTCTATAGAAAAGGGTGTTTCCATTTAAAAGCGTCGAATTTGACCCACACTGTACATGGGTGTTCCATTTAACAAAAATCATCCCGATCTACTCACACTTTTTGAGCCACTCTCTAGAAGTTAAAATATTTTCCTGATGTACATGCTAACACATACTTTAGGTTTGCACTTAAACAAAATTCCCAACTTTTTTATTCTAGGAGCTACAAATTCCCGACGCACTTTTGCCGGACCCTGTATAGTAATTATTTTATAATGAAGGGAAATTTAAAAATATTTTTATACAATGCGCCAATGCGTCTATAATATTTTATTTTTTAATATTATAGCCCTCTTTATTGTTATACTATCATCTATATGTAAGTTTTAAGGTTTTTAATATAAATATTTTCAATTTTATGTCAAAAATGACATCTTCAGAATGGATACTTTTCACTCAGTGATAAAGATTTTGAGTATATTTTATAACTAACTTTTTGGATATAAATATCTTAAAAAAATAAACGCAAAAAAGTTGACTATGATATTAAATATTTAGAGAAATAAATCCTTCTTCCAAAATGCAAGTCGCACAATTTCTTTAATAAATGTATCGACACGGAAAATTTAAAAAACTTAATTTCTTTTTACACTATAGACGTACTCTTAAGGATTCCGTAGGTTCTTAATTTAAAGACTTCTATAAAACCTTTAAACTAATTTATTTTCACAACTTAAACAACAATAAATCTGTTCTGTGAATAAACTACCTACTTATAACACTCTAATACTCTAATCGTTATTTGTTTCCTTCGCCATTTTATCAACAATCTTAAAAATATTTTAACAAAATGACTATAATGAACATTAATTAATGACTTTTTGTTATGACTATTTATTAAGAATAATAATATAATAAAAATAATATATTAACAATATTTTTTATTATTACGAATAAAAAAATTAGTTAAGAATTATTAAAAATATGTCGTCAATCAAAACTAATAATGACCATCTATCAAGCAATGAAAATAAAATTATTATATCGGAGATTATATTACCATAGAAACGCTTTTTCATTTTTAGGATTAATCATATTTTTTATGTTTCTCTAAAACGAACGGGATTAACCATTTTATAGCAAGCATTTTTTTCATAAAAATTGCAATTTTTCTCAAAATTGTTAATAATTAAAAAGTTTTTTTTGTAAAGACAATATATGCGGGAATATTAATGAGAATAAATATTTTTTGTAGAAATAATTAGGCCAACTGATTTAGAGTAAAATCTTTTAAAGTTTCAAAAGGTTTTCTTTTGTTAAGAGGTTAAGATATTCAGAAGATTCAGTCAGCTGATTTGTTCGATATTTCAAGCGATCCTTAAATGTCAAGACTGCATGTGCATCATTTTTCTTTTAAAAGATATTATCGCCAGTTGGTCAAGTATAGATTTATAGATTAATGTACTGGCACTTAGACATGGACGATTAAAAGAACTTTTTTATTAATAATATACAGGGTGTTTCAAAAACTATGTGCCAGTAGTTCCCCACGTAAAAATAAGACTTATTTTTTATATTAACATAGGTCCGATTCTATTTCGTAGCTGCGGGGGGTGAAAATCTTACTTTTTTTTCGATTTATTATAATTTTCTTCCAAGCGCTTTTAATGATTGAAATGAAATTATGAGGGTAAATGTTACTATAAGTTGGACATATTAAAAAAATGTCTATAGATTCACCAGGCACGTGCATATGAGTATCACTGTATAGTATGGTACTATAATTTCGATTTCATTCTTTGATAGATGGTTATAATTAATTTTGATTACTGTCATTTTTTTGTTGTTAAAGTATCACATTTTCCGATAACTACTACCACCCTTGCCGTAGCATTGAGCAGAATAAATTTTGTGCTTCTTTAACATTTTAAAGCAGCAAAAATATAACGTTAATTAAAATTCTATCAACAATATTTATCAAAGAATGAAAACGAAATATATTACTATAGAAACGAGTTTTGATTTTTAAGACTTTAGTCGACTGGATGCCTATTGAATAGGCTGCGATATCTACTGGTAATACAATTTTGTGTCTGTAAAAATTGTGACTATAAATTAATTATTGTATTCTTTTGCAGGGCATGGAATAAAATTTATGAAAAATCCGTCCAGAAAAATCGAAAACCCAGTCTTTTTATTAGCACTTATCACCGCATTTTGCCAGAATACACAATGTTAGCAATAATAATGATATTAATGAATGTGTTCAGTTTGCTGGAACCATTAATGTTAGGAAACCTCTTAAACTACTTCAGGTAACACATAGTTTTGCAATTCCTATTTTATTCTGCTTTTTAAATAGAAAAAAAACTGTGTAATATAATAATTTTACTACGAACCAAAATTTTATATAAATATACTAATTCCATTCCCATCAGTTCTTATTTCCCGTTTAACTTATGATTTGATTAAATTGAAATTGTGCATTATTAATCAATTATTATCAAAATTTAAAAGTCAAAATTACTTGATCTAGTGGTGTATTGATGCCAACCAAAAATTTGTCAATAAAAGGCTTAGATTAGCATTTAAATTCTTCGAGGTGGCTATCGGCCTGATCCACTGTGATCTTTTCAGATCTATTGTGGTACTCGCTGCCTAGAGAAACTCAACAAATTAGACACTACAAAAAAGCACACAAGAAAATAAAGTCCTCTTACTCTGTGTGCCTGTCCACCAAGGGATAGTACGCAATGAAAAAGCAAATAATCTAGGAGCGAACACCCCCACTAACTGGACCAGAACCGTTCTGTTTTCCAAGCGGGAACCAACTGAAGAACCTGGAAGGCTCCATCTGTAACCTGGAATGGGTGTCCAACGGTCTAGGACACTCGACAAAGTTCCTCAGAACTTACGACCGAGAAAAATCAAAGATTTTCCTTGATGTAAGTAAAAACAATCTTCGGATTGTCACGGGGTTTCTCACAGGACACTGTCTCCTCAACGAACATCTCAGTAGGCTGACGCTGAGAAACAACGGCGAATGCAGATTCTGTGGGGAAAATGGGGAAACACCAGGACACCTTATCACTGAGTGCGCCGAGACGTCGACCGTTCGTGCCATGAACTTTGGTAGGGCTGATGTCGAGGATGGAGAGTTAGCTTTTGTAGAGTCGTCTCAGATACTGGCTTTTGTTAAAGCCCTGAGACTATATGATTAGTTATAGCTCATTATAACTCAAGAAAGGGGAACACAATAGATCTGTAAGGTCGCAGTGATTAACTCGCCCCTTCTAAACATTCTACATTCTACTCTTCTGACCATTATTTCACATTCTCCAGTCTAGGTAATCCCATCGCTCGTCATTTTAACTGATCAACTCTTAATTTAGCGTCAACTTGATGCGTTTTTTTTTCGATCATACGCGGTATGCTTTAAATTATCTAACTTTAAAATTATTTTTTAGGAACGATAGTGATATTACTAAAGATCAGGCGTTCATATATGCTGGTGCTATTGTAATTTGTATTTTTGCTACTACACTTTTGAATAACCAATATATCATGGGTGCTTTTCATGATGGAATGAAAGTAAGAGCAGCTGCATGTGCTCTTATATACAGAAAGGTAAAATTTTTGTTTAATAGCTTTATTCACTATTTAATAGTGAAAAAATCCTTTAGCAACGTTGCATACAACCCTGCTGTTGATGTAGGTTGCCTTCTAAGTTTTTACAAAAAGTGAAACAGAAACGAACAAGTTCGAAACAAAGTGCTTTATATTACTTTCCGAAATATTCGTTCTTAAGGTCTATACATCTTTGCATACGCTCAAACCAATTCTGGAAACATTTTTTCCACTCTGAAGCTGATATCGTAGAAACATGGTTTTGAAAGTCTTCAACAACTTCATGAGGTGATGAAAATTGCTGTCCGCGATCTTTTGTTTGACAGTGGGGAACAAGAAACAGTCATTAGGCGATAAATTAGGTGAATACGGGCAATGATACATTAATTCGATGTTTTTCTCCTTCAAATATTCAGTTGTTTGACATGATTTGTGGGAGGTGGCATTGTCGTGATGAAGAATAATGCGACGTTTTTTGTTATTTTGCCTTATTTAATCGAAGACCGTTGGCAAACACATTTTTGTATACAATTCCGCATTAACAGTTCTTCGATCCTCTAATGGAATGGTTGCCGACGTGTCCAGTACAACCGAAGAAACAAGCGATTAGAAAAACCTAAAAGGCAAAACCTACATAGTATATAAATTGAAAAAATAATATTTATTTACATAATACATCGTTATTCACTATTACGTATTTCCATTTATTTTTTATTACAGTCGTTAAGATTGAGTAAAACAGCTTTGGGAGAAACGGCATCAGGAAAAATTGTGAATCTGTTGTCCAACGATGTTAGTCGATTCGACTTGGTCAGTATTTTCATCCATCACATGTGGGCCTCCCCAATCATCACATTTATTGTTACATACTTCTTGTGGGCAGAAGCAGGATGGGCAGGACTAATTGGTATCGCAACTGTATTTGTAGTAGTACCAATTCAAGGTAAATCCCTTAACATATTTCAAATTGATGAATTTACTTTTATGGTATAATTTTTACAGGCTATACGGGTAAACTGTCCGCAGTCTACAGGAAAGCTACAGCTTTGAAAACTGACGAAAGAGTTCGATTGATGGATGAGATTCTTTCAGGTATACAGGTTATAAAGATGTACGCCTGGGAGAAACCATTTGCCAAGCTAATTAAATTTGCTAGAAAAGCTGAACTAAAAATTATTACTAAATCTTCATACGTCCGAGGTCTCTATATGACCTTTAACCTGTTTACTACTCGAGTGGCCTTATTTAGTACTCTTATTACTCTTGCCTTAACAGACAAACCAATCACCGCCTCAGCAGTAAGTTTTTTTCTGACTGACATAAACTAATCAAAACGAATTAGGGATCGATATGTGTATCTGTATTTATTATGTTTATAGACTTTGATACAAAAACGTAATTATTTCCCGTCATAAACAAATAACAGTAAAGATGCACCCGAAGACGCATAAATTCCATAACATTTTTTTATAAAAATTATAAAAAAATAAAAAGCGTTTAAATACTGAAGAAGTCATCAGAGCTACAACTTTATTGCAGGAGTGTCGTTCACAACGATACGTGTCGCAGTTTTTTTTATGTTACACAATCGGTCATTTCCAGACTATGGAATAGACACAGAGAACATGGTTTTGTTGTCCGGAGACCATATCCTCAACGGGTATCAACAACGAGGCGGGAAGATCGGTATTTTGTTCAAGCCGCTCTTCGTGAAAGAACACTTACCGCAAGAACCCTACAAAATCTTCTTACGATCGCCATAGGAACTCAAATTTTAAGTTAAACTGTAAGAAATAGGCTACATGAAGTTAACATTCGATCAAGGCGAGCCGCTGTTGTACCATTTAACTGCTAATCATCGTAGGGCAGGAGGGATATTTCTCAAGAACATCTTCACTGGGCGCGGATCAGTGGAGTCCCGTTTTCGACTAAGTCAGAATGATGCCCGGCGGAGAGTATACACACGGGAGGTATAACTTTAAATAGGCTACGGACTTGTATGTGTTTCTAGACGACATAATTAATGCTGAACGATACAGGGATGAAATTCTTGAACCATATGTTATTCCATTTGCTGCTCAACATGGTCCAGAATTCATCTTACAACAGGATAATCCCAGGCCTAATACTGCAAGAGTAGTTACTTGTAGAGTAGACCCTAAAGAGTCCCAATATCACAATCATGGATTGGCCTGCTGGATAGCCCTGTTCTCAATTGATCCCTATTGAGCACCTTTGGGACCTACTAAAGAGAAGACTACAAAGTCGTCCACAAGTACCAGATTTCAATCTTCAAATCTTTGAGAGGAGTGGAATGCCTTTCATCAAGAGATCATTCGGAGCCTCATTCATTCTATGACAAATCCGTGTGCAGAAGTGCATAGAAACCGCGGAGGACACACACATTATTAGGGAAAAAAATATTTCTGTTGACAAAGACAAAAATTGTTTAGCATTGTTTTCGATACATATTGTCATAGTCATTCATAACGTAATAAAAATACAATTTTCAGCAGTTTGACAACTTTTTTCGTCATGAACATCAAGGTGCATACATTCAAACTTAATTCCTAAGGAAAATATGTATTGCTACGTTTATATGTTCAAATAAATATATTTTCTTTGTTTAAACGAAATTTATCAAAGTGATCCCTAATTCGTTTTGACTACTTTATTTATTTTACTAATGAAGTTTTTTTAGGCTTTTGTTTTGATGTCTTACTTGAACTTAGTTTCTCATACAATGTCTCAAATGTTTGTAAGAGGTATATCTGAAATGGCTGAGCTTATTGTGGCTATTCACCGTTTGGAAGAATTTATGCTTAACGATGAATTTGATGCTCAAAAACCGTTATCTATGAGCGACAATAACGAAGAAGATAAATATATAGTTAAATTGCAAGACCTAACAGTAAAATGGAACGCCAGATTATCAGATACTGCTTTAGATAACATTAATCTATCAGTCCGAAAGGGAATGCTTGTTGGCATTATTGGCCCAGTAGGAAGTGGAAAAAGTTCGCTACTTCAAACAATTTTAGGAGAACTAGAATTGGTATCCGGAAAAATTAATTTAAACGGAACTATTTCTTATGCATCTCAAGAGCCTTGGGTCTTTGCCGCAACAGTTAGGCAAAATATTTTGTTTGGGGCAGATTATGATAAAAAGAGGTATAGCGATGTAGTGAAGGCGTGTGCACTGGAAAAAGATTTCGACCAGTTCTCTAACGGCGATTTAACTATTGTTGGCGATAGAGGAGCCTCTTTAAGTGGTGGACAGAAAGCTAGAATTAATCTTGCCAGAGCAATCTACAGGGAAGCTGACATTTATCTGCTAGATGATCCTCTATCCGCTGTAGATATCCATGTTTCTAAACATCTTTATGATCTCTGTATCAATGGTTATCTTTGTGACAAAACTCGTATTCTAGTAACTCATCAAGTGCATCATTTAAAGGACGCTGATCATATTATTATCTTTAATAATGTAATATTTTATTAGTTTATTTTTGTTTTCAAAATGAATCAAAACATTATTTTATAGGGAAAAATTGAAAATGAAGGTTCGTTTAAAGAATTATCAGAAAGTGATAATCTCTACGCCAAATTGCTAACCAGCGAACCGGAGATTTCCGAAGAAGAGAAGCAAAAACTTACGGAATACGCCAGGGCAGATAGGAAGATGTCTGTAAAGAGTATTAAATCTCTGGCAAGTGCGTTAAGTGAACTTAGCATACCTGAAGCAATATTAGCTGAACAGGATGAGGATGATGACGAAAAAGTAAGATGCAAAACTTTATTTTATATACAGGGTAACACACCACATTCGCCGCGATTAATTATACAAAAACGGAAAGAGGTAGAAACAAAATATTTTTTTGGGTATATGTGGGAAGGCAATGTGCATAATTTAAAATTATTTTGCAATGTACAGGGTGTGTCAGAACTAAGATCCATACCAAAGTTATATTTGTTTTTATGGAACATGCGGTATTTTATTTAATTTTTGGATTCTTGGACATAAAATATGGCATTTATTAACTATACTACTTTAACTTTACTAAAAAATTGATCGCTTCCTTAAATTTATACAGGGGTATCAAAAATGGCCTATGTTAAATATTTATTTTACATCAAAACTTCGTTATTTCAAGTGCAATACTCTGTATTTTTTTTAAATAAGTCGAAGCAAATTTAAATGCTATTTCAAACTATATTAGTTATACTTTATTTTTTTATACTTATCTGGCTCAGATTTTAAATGAAAAGCGTTTTTTCAATAAAATGGCAACCAAGAGAGCTGATATCTTCATGATAATTTGCTAGTGACAGTAAGATTCCAGATTTCAAAATCGCAATTAGTTTATTTCATTTATCTATGTTTAGTTACTATTTAGGACTTTTTTTATTTAAATTTAGAGCAGTTTACTTTTATTTAAAATACCTACAATAGTTTAATAAGTACCTATTTATTATTTTATCAAGAAAAACGAAGAAGTAGTTCTTTGAATGATATTACAATGACCTGTAGATATAGTGGATTTTCTATAAAAGGAAAGCTTATCAGCAATATTCTTATTTGGATATTTTTGAGCATAAACCCTTCAGACCAACAAGCAATTTTCCTCACAAAACGAAATCACTCGTAACATATCCATTCTTTCAGCAAGCAGATACTGCTTCATTTTTGATTTTTTTTATAAAATAATGCTTACTTATTAAACTATTGTAAGGAAATTAAATAAAAGTAAACTGTTATAAATTTAAATAAAGTCCCTAAACTAATGTGATTTTGTTGTTTGTAATAGCTACCGTCGCTAGAAAATTTCCATGGCGATATGATTTTTCCATGGCCATCTTGATTGTCATTTTATTGAAAAATCTTTTTATTCAAAATCTGGACCAAATAAGTATAGGACACACTAATATAATTTGAAAGAGCATTTAAATATGCTTCTATTTATTTTAAAAACTAGAGACTTTAAATAACGAAGTTTTTATATAAAATAAAAATTTAAAGTGGATCAGCAATTTTTGGTACCCATTTAAGTAAGTTTTTGGTAATACATTTAAGGATACAATCAACTTTTTCAGTTAAGTTTATTTCTCTATCTTTAAACTCAGCACAAGAATTAATTCTGAAAAGTAATGTACAGGGGTGTTACTAATCTTTTCTACTATAGCATACATAATTAAATATCTTTAAACATCAAAAACCAAAGTTTTTAAACATATTTAACCCTTATAATAAAAGCCTTTTTTTAGGTCCAACAATCCAAAAATGAAATAAAATACCGGTTGTATGTTCCATAAGAAAAAAATATAACTTTGGTATGGATCTTAGTTCTGGAACACCTTGTACATTTCAAAATAATTTTAAATTATGCACATTGCCTACCCACATATTATACCCTTAAAAATAATTGTTTATTACATCTTTCCATTTTCGTAATATCAACCGAGGGGAATGAGGTGACCTTTTTATTAAAACTTTATTTCAAATATTAAAACTTTATTTTATATTTTTTATAGGAAGATGAACCGGAAATTAAGATGAAGGATCTTCAGGAAGAATCTTCCAAAGGAAAAGTTCACGGAAGTTTACTACTAAAATATTTCTTTGCTGGAGGAAATTGTTGCTTTGTCTTCACTGTTATTGCCTTATATTTATTAGCTCAAGGTAAATAAAAGTTGCCCAAAATAAAGGAAAAATCTTAAAAATATTTTAATTTAGGTGCAGCTATGGGGGTAGATTACTTCGTCAGTTTTTGGGTGAAAGTAGAAGAGTTGAAAACAACGAACCTCAATTTAACAGCTACAGGAAATAACGTTAACAATATTACTTCTGATGTAGAAATTTCTCCTCTAAACGTATTCGATGCGCTTCACTGGGAACGAGATACCTTTATATATATTTATGGAGGGCTAGTTTTGGCACTATTCTTCTTAGCATTAAGTCGCTCCATGCTGTTCTACAAGCTAACTATGATTTGCTCTCAAAAGTTACACGACAGTATCTTCTCTAGCGTTGTTCGAGCTCCCATGAGATTTTTTGATACCAATACCGGTGGAAGAATTTTAAATAGATTTTCAAAAGATATAGGATCAGTAGATGAACTGCTGCCTAAAGCAATTTTAGATGCTTCTCAAGTAAGCTTTTATGCCCGGTTCAGACGAAGCAGACAAAACAACGACAAGACAGAAACATTCATGTTTTACGACAAAATTGCGACAAATCCTATACATTTCTGCGACATTTTTGTCTCATTTTTGTTTTGTTTCAAAATTTGGACACTTTTCAATGTCCCGTCTCAAGTCGGTAAAAAAGTGTCTATGTTTTGTTCGTATATTTTACGACAAGTTGTTGGCGCAGTGTGGATGGCGTGTGCTGCCAACTACTGTTAACTACTGGAGACCAGTGAAATCACACATAGTTACCAGAACTCATTCGCAACAACTAAACTTTTGACTTTGTTGTACTTTTGTCCTTGCGGTGTGGACAATTTGTCTCAAGTTTGTCTAGTCAGAATTTCCAATTTTTTGTCGCAAGTTTGTCTCAAAATTGTGTTTCCTTTTTGTCGCCTTGGTCTGGACCCGGCATTATATTTGAAGGATCCAGAAGAAAAACATGAAAAGCACCAATTTCTTAATTTTAGGGTTTTACAATATTGTAGTAGGTCTAACTGGTCCCGACAAAATGTATAAACTCTGCAGAGCAACAGGCTATTAAATCCTTTATGATATATACCTAGTAAAAATATACATACAGGGAAAGAACCTGATAACTACCAGCTATCCAGCGCTCTCCTGTAAAATGAGTAATATGTAATGAGGTGTCGGTATTTGAATAACGCGATTTTGGAGCGGTATTTTTTTGTAACGTCGTGTCGCGCTCTACAACGAATCAGGAACCTGTTACTGAACAACGACGATGATAATAACTACGATATTATAAGTTGTTTATAATTTGTAAATAAATTATTTAAAATCGCTCGTGGATTTGGCTCGAACCACAGTAACCGCATAGCGAAGTGTTTCGCTCCAGCAACTGGAAACTACGTAGCGACGCAGGACCTCGACAGCAACCTATTTCGCTCCAACTGTAGCGCTCCTAGAGTCGCGGTTTCGTCTGTCGCGAACAGATGTAACTGGTAACGACCTAGACCGCGACTTGAGTCGCTCCAGTTCTCGCGCGACTGCTGAAGCGCTCCTAGAGTCGACTTTTTGTCTGTCGCGCTTTGGTTGATCGCTATTGGCGTTGATCCTCCCGTTACAGTGGTTACGTTACTTTCGAGATTGTGATTTTCGGTAAGTTTAGGTACTATAGGCATTTTTGATTGATAATAAATACATGTTAGGTATATTAGATAGTTACAAATAAACATTTTTACAAAAATAAGAAAGAAAAAGAAGAAATATGACCGAAAAAATAAATTTGTAAAGCTACTAAATTCAATACAAATATAATCCCAATTAGTCCATAGTCTGCAAAGAAAGATATATTTACATTTTACTAACATATGGGTATAAAGTAATACTGATTTTATTTTGATTATGCTTTTGTTTAAGCAAAAATATTTCTAAAGTAAACAGCTATTAAGAAAAAAAGAGGGGAAAATATATAAATTCAGTCGGTCATAACGTATATCAGAAGAATATAAATATAAATATTATTGGCAAGAGAATATAAAATTTATAAAAATCTTTCTGCAGTCTGAAGAAAAGGTGGCAAATAAAAATTATTGAGTACCAATAAATTATAGTAATTAATATTATTTATTTAATAGTTTTGTTTCCAAAATTGGAAGCTAAAGTAAGTAAATTCTTCTAGCCATCTGCATGTTGTTTACAAATTTGATTGTGGATTGTTATTGTTTATGAATTTGCATGGACGAGATAACGGCAGGGATGGGAGTAGGTAAAAGGTAGGTAGGTACATCTGACCAGAAATACCGTATAGGCGAGAATAGCGACACTTTGAAGGCCCGAACCTCGGCCTCGGTTACAAAATCGCGGTATTTCTATGGAACGGTCGCTATTGTAACGCGACTGATGTGGAATCGGTATTTCCATCACTAGTAATATGGCGCTTGTCATGTTTTTTCCCTGGACCCTTCATTTTCTATCTCCCTTAGTTTTGTTGTAGTTACACAACAAAGCACATTACATATTATTATTTACATTTAACATTATTTTTATTGTTTTAGTTAATTTTGATGGCATTGGGATCAATTGTGCTCATAACTGTAGTTAATCCAATGTTTTTGATTGTGGTGGTTGTGATCGGTGCTATTTCTTTAGTTTTACGAAGTATATTTTTAAGGACTTCGAAAAATATCAAACGACTTGAAGGCATAAGTACGTAATAAATATTTTTATGTAATTTGCTTTATTTGAATTGTTATTTAATAATTTTTAGTGAGAAGTCCAGTTTTTACACATTTGAATGCGACTTTAAACGGTTTAACAACGATTCGTGCATTTGGAGCTCAGAATATTCTACGTGATGAGTTTGATAAACATCAAGATTCCCACACCAGCGCTTGGTTTATGTACATTGCTGCCAGTTCAGCGTTTGGGTTCTGTATGGATCTCCTCTGTTTTATTTTCATCACTTTAATTACCTTCAGTTTTCTAACTTTTGGAGAAGGTAAATATTAAAACATGAAATATACAGGATGGCTCATTAGTGCGAGGAAGTCCAATATCGTCGTCGTCGTCGAAGGTATTTAAAAAATATACAAATGTTGCATGGTTTTATAGAGGAGCATATCCTAAAAATATTTTGTTGTATACAGGGTATCTCAAAAAAAGTGATGATTCAGTTTTTTTATTTCAAATTGCACCCCTAATTTTTCTGTACAGATTTGGATTCAGCATAAAATTCTGCATATAGTACGCTATTTTTATTTTCTGCACTATGCGGTGTTGCCATTCTATTTCATATTTACTGAAATTTTGGTTAAAAACTAGAGTGAATGCAACTTTATTAATAGCTATATTTTCTTCAACATAAAGGATAACAGAATAAACCCACGAAGGAAAATTTATATATACAGGGTAATTTTTATGGCGTTGCCAACAGCGCAATATTTTAAATACCATACCATATGCAACACTGAGTAGGTATATTATTTTTCTTTTAGATGGAAAATTAAAAAATAAACATTTTTTGAATTTAAAGTATTCTAAGATGTTAGCGGTTTCGGAGATATTGGCGATATTATATTACATATGACTGTTTCAACAGTAAATGTATATCAGAGCCAATTTTTATCAAGATATTGTCTGTTTTTACCATTGCAAATCCCATATGTAATATAATACAGAAAATATCTGCAAAGCCGATAAAAATTTACAATAAAAATTTATAAAAAAAATTACATTTTTTAACTCTGCATCTAAAAGAAAAATAATTAACTGTTACTTTTGGGTCAGCATTTACATGTGTGGAAGTAAATCGCATAGGGATCTTATTAAGTCGGAGTGAGAGAAATGCGACCGACCGACGCGACACGCGACGGTGTGCTGTTGCGGCGTTGCCGATACGCCTTTCCCTATCAAGTAAAGAAAAATCACTATCGCAAACTGCTTATTTTTAAAAGACTTTTTTTCAAGAGATAACTAGATAAAATCATTAGACATGTTTCTGAGCATCTGAAATGGAATTATAAGGATATCGTTAGGGTGTCATTTTTTTATAACGAGAAAACGTCAGTAATCGCGATAATTTAAAAAATCAACTTTTTAACACATAACAGGCCATAACTCAAGAACCACTTTAGATATTGAAACTTTTTTTTTATTTTCAGGATCGGATATTTTACAATATGTTATATTATTATAAGAAAAATTCGATAAGGTTGTTTTTTCCATTCAAAAATTGTAAACAATCCATCCATTTACTTTTAGAGCATAGCAATTTTCAGCAATCGTGTAATTTTTTTATTGATAAAGATTTTCACATACTGTCTACAAAGAAAATACAGCAGAAATATTAACAAAGTTCTTGAAAAAACTACAACCTATTAGTACTAATAGATTTCGAGATATCGATTTTTGAATTCAGTTTTCTAATAGCGCGACCACTATCGAACACCCACTCAATTCCACTTATTTTTACCAAAAATGCAAGTGTTTCTAGCTTTCTTAAAAAAATTCAAGCTATAGGGAAAATTACAACGACTCGTTAATAAATAAACAAATTAAGTATCACGAGACGTAATTAAATCGTGAAGCTGAACGCATGACGTACACCTTTCCCTAGAACTTTAAATACTGACAGAGGTATTGATTGGGTCGACCGGTCAACTGCGACAAATCTGCTATATCCCCTTCCACGTCTCTTAGCGATGTGCACAGTTTCTCGGTTTATTTCATACGTTTGGCAACGTGTTTACTGTCCTCTCTTTGTTCAGTACATTATAAACGCATTGTACTCTTCTTACATACGGAAATCTCGACCCAAGACTAACCTTTGCCAGCCCTTAGTATACCCTGTATATTATTTTGCAATCTCCATATTTATTTTGTTGCATTTAAATAAATAGAGATATATATCATTTTAAATTGCGATATTGGCGACACCATAAAAAATACCTTCTATAGGATAAAGTTTTCCTTGATGGATTTAATCCGTTATCCTTGGTGTTTAGGAAAACATAGCTAAGTATTAATAAATTATATTCACTCCTGTTTTATAACCACTTCTCGGATATAGCGTTTTTAATTAAAATTTTAGTAAATATGAAATAGAATGGTAACACGGCACAGTGCTTCAAATATATCATCATAACTTTTTTTGGAACATCCTGATGACAATAAAGTATTTTTAGCATATGCACCATTATAAACCATGCAACATCTATATAAAACTTTTTTTTTCATATCTTCGCCAACAATGACCATATTGGACGTTCTCGCACTAATGGGCCACCCTGTATTTTATCGGCATTTTTATTGTATAATGTTTTTAATAGATATTGGGTTGAGCGGTGGAGAAGTTGGATTAGCCATTACACAAGCAATTTCATTATCCATGATGGTACAATGGGGTTTGCGCCAGTCTGCCGAAGTAGCTAATCAGTTAATGTCGGTAGAAAGAGTACTAGAATATAAACAATTACCAGCGGAAAAAGAACCGGTAAACCCTAAAAATCCACCCTCCAGCTGGCCTGACAAAGGGGAAGTAATTTTTGAAGACATGGGACTGAAATATGATGAGGAAGGAGCTTTGGTTTTGAAGCACTTGGATTTGACGATTAAACCCAATGAAAAAGTTGGAATTGTGGGAAGAACTGGAGCAGGGAAATCTTCGTTGATCTCCGCACTTTTCCGTTTAGCAAACGTAGAAGGCAAGATCAAAATTGATGAAATGAATACACAAGATATTCCTTTAGAAACTTTAAGATCAAACATTTCTATAATACCGCAGGATCCAGTTCTGTTTTCTGGTACATTGCGTTATAATTTAGGTAATAATTTAGATATATATAAAAAATGGTTAACTAAATATGGGTATTATTTTTTAGATCCGTTTGATCAATACAACGATGATACCTTATACAAAGCTATTGAAGACGTCGAATTAAGAGATCCAGCTAACATAATCAACAGATTGGAAAACAGAGTAATGGATAGAGGGGCCAACTATAGTGTAGGACAAAGACAACTCATTTGTTTAGCCAGAGCAATTATTCGTAATAACAAAATATTAATGTTGGATGAAGCTACTGCTAACGTCGATCCACAGTAAGTTCGAAATGTTAATAGTCGTAATTAAGTCAGTTAAATAGGATTTATTAAAGGGGTTGTAGCGTTGGAAAGCTAATTCAGAGTCAGGAAGCATGTGTAATAAAAAATGGGGGCACCCATATAAAATAAGAAAGTTGATGTCAACTTCCGGTACTTCCGAAAGTGCCGCAGTTATTGAAAATATTTTTAATCTGTAGATCTCGTTGTAACACAATGATATGTAAAAAATCTCCGATCTAGATAGTGTGGTTCTCTAGAAACTTCTAATGAACGCTCAGCCTGGGACACCTTGTGTACCCACTTTGCTGAAAAAATGCATTAAACTGATATTTAATCGTCCGTCACATGGGAAACATCGTTCTAAATAAAAAACAACGGAAGTCCTTCTTGCGGTGCCGTGCCTGTCTTCAGTCGTCGGTGATCTCCATGACTATTTTGTTTAAGATATTTCTATCTTTTGGCTGCATGAAACAGCCTCTCCACCCCAGACCGGTCCAGTTCCGTGTGTTTCTCAGCCATGCCAGTTTCTTTCGACCCACCCATCTTTTTCACAATCGAAAGCGCCAACAAATAAGAAAATATACGTATTTTTGTAATAATCTACTTATAACTAAAAGTGTCTAAATACGCTACTGGAAGCATGACTAAAGGTAAAAAAACGTAATGACACTTACCGTCGTAAATATCAATTCCGGCTTAGAGTAGTCCACCTTTTTACAAACTATGGCACTGGCTAACCATCGTAGATAGTTAAAAACTACTTTAAATAGTTTTCTTTACAATAAACACTAATAATTGTTAGAAAGTTGTTGAAAAGCTACAAAAACTTTCAACTTCCTCAGAAAACTCACAACTGCGCGCTGTCAAATATAATTTGAATGAAAACGTCAAATGTCAGCGTAATTCCTACAGATTTCGACAATTTCGTAGTAAAGATGAATTCACAGCGATCCCGCTAGTAGTCATTGTAATTTCCCTAATATAAGTTAATTAGAAAACCAAAAATAATTTTTCAAAGGTATAATCCTGGCACAATCTATGCATTTTAATTAGAGTTATATAGCTATACAAATATTTAGTTTAACGTTTTTATAGGTACCCAAAAAACATTAATATCGTCGATTTTTGCGGAACACGGTTCGTGATCGCGATAAAATGTAAACTAACGTAACATTTCGGAAACTACAACGTAACATTTCGGAACTCTAGTCGAAAATTTGAAGAGTCCAAGAAGTTTTGCCATCTCTTGGGCCCTTAGCTTGGGCCTCATGGCTAACCGTGCAAATCTAGAAAAGTTCTCTTTGATGTCAAATCAGAGGTCAAATGAACCAATCAAAACATTTAGCTTTCCTACACTTTTTTCTAAGTGTCGAAAAACAACCCTCTAATTTGATATTTGTCTAAATTTACTTTAAATCTGAAATATTTCAGAACCGATGCCTTGATTCAGAAAACCATCCGGAAGAAGTTTGCCGACTGTACTGTCCTTACAGTCGCTCATCGTCTCAACACAATAATGGATTCTGATAAAGTTTTGGTTATGGACTCTGGAACGATGGTTGAATTCGATCACCCGCACAATCTGTTGCAGAATCCAAACAGTGTTTTCTACAATATGGTACAAGAATCGGGCAGATCTATGTCCGAGCAGCTCAGAAAAATAGCAAAGGAGAGTTTTTTAAGACAAGATAGTCTCCTAGAATAGCCCAAAGCCTGATTTTATTCTGGTATTAAATATTATGTGTTTTAGAAGCTAACAAAACTTAAAATGTTTCACACTGTGATAGTATTATAATTACTTACATATTAAAGTATATTTCTTAATTTTGTGCATTAGAACTCGGTGATAAAAATATTATATCTTTAATAGTTTAGTTAATAAATAACAGAAACAATATATTTTAATACATCCAGAGTAACTGGTAGAAACATACATAGAGAAACAATTTAGTATGGTGCTAAAATACTTAATGCAATGAATACAAATCTTGTTAGTTGTAAGATTAAACGTAGTTTTTAAGGCAGCCTATTTGCAATGGAAATCCTACTTAATTTTTTGTTTTTTTAATTAATATTTTTTTGTTTTATATATTTATAAAGCAAGTTTTTAATTATAACAACTATTTATTGTAAAGTCTAAAAGGAAAATTAATGGTGCTTAAATGTAAATGTACTTAATTTTTATATACTTAGATAAACATTATAAATAATTGATATTTTTTAAGTGTAAATATTTATGTATTTTCTTAATTATATAGAATTATATTGATATTTTTATATTATGTTTTTTTTTGTATCCTCCTTATTATTTTATTATCCCCCATTACCATTATTACTACCTTATTCTACGTATAATACCTACATTACATACAAACCATACCTACAAAATATTTCGTCTCTATATACAATATTTTGAATACTGACATAGGTTTTTGCGCTAAGTGATGACTGCGAATTTCTCATAATTTTTTATTACAAAAGCATACTTGAATATTAAAATAGTCTAGCAATTATATGAATATCCTCGAAGATCAGCATTCCTAAGATGCCTTTATTTAAATGCAACAACATCCACTAATCTACATTTTCCATAGTAAGTAGAATTATTAACCATTTTTTAATGTATTTCAAGGTTGAAAAGCATATTTCGCACCCTACTTCGGTGCATCCTTAGGGAAGGACATTTTACTCTAAGAGAAGGACCTGCTATACCGGATGCGTCTCAAAAGTGGCTCACCCTTATAACTATTTTATTTTTTTCTGATAAAACAACGAGATTTGGTATGTTAATGTATGACATAAATTCGGATTGATTGACATGTTCCATTGCTTTCGGTCCCTTCCGGTTTCACCGGAAATTACTACTAAGTTTTGATTTTTAAATGGTACCCTCAGTATTTTTTACTTTATTCGATAGAAAATGATATTCTGAATAGAATGACGTATCATAGTCAACTTTTGACATTTTAGCATATGGTTTATTTGAAATTATAACATGCGGTTCACAACGACAATTTGACTCGAAATACCCAGTGTGTGGTATCAAATTATTCGTAAAAAAATGCTTTTTCCAAATATGCTAATGAGCCACCTTCGTTCCATTTGCAAAAATTGAGATATAATTAAAAATACGATTTGAGCATCTTTTAACCAGCCAGGATAAGACACTAAAAACATTAGACGATCAAATCTATTTTTCCAAGGCTCTTTGAATAAAAATTAGTGTTACAGCCCTGGCACTCTAGATTAAAATTTAAAGTACAATTTGTGTTTGAGCGAATATGTCAAAAGTTGACATATGATAGTGTCATTTTCTATCGAATAAATTAAAGAAATACCGAGGGTGTCATTTAAAAATCAAAGGTTGTAGTCATTTCCGGTGAAACAGGAAGTGACCAAAAACAATCGAATACGTCTATCAATCCTAATTTAGGTCATAAAATATACTAACATGCCAAACCTTTTGTTATCTGAAAAAAATAAAAAAGTTATAGGGGTGAGCCACTTTTGAGACGCACCCGGTATAGGCCTTAAAAAGATGATTGAATGAATGAATGTATAATTTTTTATATTTGTTCAAAATATTGTAACAGTAAATCACGAAAATTTACAAAGTGTGTGCTTTGCTGTTATAATCCCATCAAAGACAGAATGTGAAAAATACTCGCAACGCAAGTCTCACTACGCAATTCTTACACTACACAAAATTGTGAGATCTCATGTAAAGCCAAGTCGGTTTATTTTATTTGGTTTCTATAGAAACGCCTATTCAACAATTTTGGTATAAATTGATAGACAATCATTGTAATTGTAAGTCTTTATCTATGTAGACAATTATAGAGGGTTTTCACATACACTGGCAAAATCGGTGACGTTGCCGCTGCTGAAATCAATTGAAATAAACTTTGAATTATTATTGTTATATTGATATTTAAATAAAATAAGAGAATATCAAAACTTTTTGTCGACTGGAATGTCAGTTATCGGTGGCGGCTAGACACAACTTTTAATCCATAATGATATTTCGAGATTTTTCATTTTTTATATTTTTTTGTTTATTATAACAAGCTAAAATAACGTAAAATTCAAAATTTGAAGTTTGTGAAATTTCTAGAATAATAGATGGTTATTTTTAGTGATAGGAAAAACCGAATAATTTCAATAATCGAGTACTCGAGTTTTAAGCGATTTCAATAATCGAGTACTCCATTATAGAATCGAGCGAAATATCCCTCGTATTTAAAAATACGGTTTTTCGCCCGTCGCTTGTTGTACTCGTAACGCCAAGCAGTAATTTGCGTGCGCAGAGCACATAATATTCTATCGGTGATGAATGGCAAGTAGCAAGCGACGAGCGATTCGCTTGCTTGATTTAGTTTATTTCAAGGTATTGTCGATGTACGTCGTAAAATTTTATCACTCAGATACGCAACGGATAACGTCATATAAATTTGCTACCTGCAATGTATGTAAAAAAATTCGCTCGGCTTTTTATCCAGTATGTCACATTAAAATCGAATTTCAATTTATTTTATTCTAGAATCGCTTGCGTTCGTCGCTCGTAACTCATCACTTGCATCACTTTCATAATCGAGCGATGTTGGTTATTTCAATAATCGAGTACTCGAGCGAATTTTCGCTCGAGTTATCCCATCACTAGTTATTTTCTTTGCGTAATCTATGCTTTTAGAATTTAGAAGTACCATGGGATTTTGACGATCTATCAGGGTGCATCCACACTATCCTAGAAACGGCGTAACGACCTTGAATAGATTTCCAGTAATTCTATTGGGTGAAATTTTTGACAGATGAATTTGACAGATAAAATTTCTGACAGATGAATTTTTCAGCCAATAGAATTACTGGAAATCTATTCAAGGTCTTTACGCCGATACGCTGTTCCTAGGATAGTATGGATGCACTTTTAGTGCCAGAAAGCATCCCAGAAAAAGCGGAACGGCGCGGGCGATCGACGTAACGACCTTGAATTTGTTTCCAGCAATTCTATTGGCTGAAAAATTCATCTGTCAAAAATTTCAGCCAATAGAATTACTGGAAATCTATTCAAGGTCGTTACGCCGATACGCCGTTTCGCTTTTTCTAGGATGATATGGATGTACCTTTAGTCACTGTCGAAATTAATGAAACTTGACAGGAGATAATTTATAAATATACCGGATGCGTCTCAAAAGTGGCTCACCCTTATAACTTTTTTGTTTTTTCCAGATAAAAAAACGAGATTTGGTATGTTACCTATAGTATGACATAAATTAGGAGTGATTGACGTATTCAAATTTTCTCGGTCACTTTCCGTTTAACCAAAAATGTTGACAGAAAAAAGACTACAACTTTTGATTTTTAAATGGCATCCTCGATATGTTTTACTTCATTCGACAGAAAACGACCCTGAATAGAATTACATATCGTATGTCAACTTTTGACAAATTCGCTTAAAAAACATCGTATTTTAAATTTCAATCTAGAGTGCCATGGTTGTTCTAAAAACACGAATTTTTAATGAAGGAGCCTTGAAAAAATATATTTGATTGATTGAATTGAATGATGAATTGATTGAAAACGAATTGATTGAATTGAAAAAAATATATTGAAATGTTTTTAGGGTCTTATCCTGACCGGTTGAAAGATGCCCAAATCATTCATGCTCAAATTTAGAATATAATAATATAGGGTGACTCATTGGCATATTTGAAAAAAGCATTGTTTTACTAATAATTTGGTACCACACACTTAGTATTTTGAGTCAAATTGTCGTTAAGAACCCCTTGTTACAATTTCATATAAAACATATGCGAAAATGTCAAAAGTTGACATATGATATGTCATTCTACTCATAGTGTGATTTTCTACCGAATAAAGTACTAATATACCGAGGGTGCCGTTTAAAAATCAAAAGTTGTAGTTATTTCCGGTGAAACAGGAAGCGATAAAAAATAATTGAATACGTCAATCAATCATAACTTATGTCATATGCTAAAATACCAAATCTCGTTTTTTTATCTGCAAAAATAAAAAAGTTGTAGGAGTGAGCTGCTTTTGAGACGCACCCGGTATAAATATTATGTCCTCTTGATTAGTAAAAATTAATATTCATGCTTTAACCACAACGAAGTTACAGGAGGTGTAAGTTGCTTCGAAAAAAGGTGGTACGGCTGTGCTCGGCTTGGCAGAAGCCCTCAAGATGTATTGAATGCTACTTATTAGTAGACAAAATAAAGAAAATTAAAAATAATTGTTTATAGCTATATTTTTATAAATTAAATATTACATTTATGCACAAAATTGGTCAAGCTCCATTATTCCAATCCTCCCCTTCCTTGCTTTTCTTCTCTAACCAAGCATGCCAAGCGATGTCTTTCAACTGTTCACTCATAGCAGTTCCAGTTTCCAACACCATTTTCGTAAAATGCCCCTCCGGCATTTGCAACAGACTGAATGGATGATCAAATTCCAACATTTTGCCAGCGCCCATTACTAATACTTTGTCGGAGTCCATAATGGTGTTTAGACGGTGAGCAATTGTAAGCACAGTGCACTCTTTGAATTTCTTTCTTATCGTTGTCTGTATCAACGCATCAGTTCTAGCATCTACGTTTGCCGTTGCTTCGTCCAAGACCAGAATTTTGTTGTTTCTTAGGAGGGCTCTAGCTAAACAAAGTAGTTGTCTTTGACCCAAACTAAAATTACCACCTCCCTCTGACACTTGGAAGTCGAGATTATTAACTAGATCCTTTAATTCAACCTGTAAAATTAAAATTAGATATAATATTCTTGTATGTTATGTAGTATACAGGGTCCGGCAATAGTGCGTCGGATATAGGTATGTAGCTCCTAGAATAAAAAACTTAGGAATTTTGTTCAAGTGCAAACCTAAAGTATGTACTAGGATGTATTTCAGGAAAATATTTTAACTTCTATAGGATGGCTCAGAAAAGTGTGAGTGGATCGGGATGATTTTTTTAAATGGAGTAACTTGTATATTATTGTATTTTTAGCTTCCTTTCAAATCACTTTACATAATCTTAAGATATGAGTAAATATATGTCGATAGTTTCAGAAATATTAATAAATAAATAAAAAATATATATTTTTCCTTACAGCCTTCCTTAAAACAAAATTATTAAAAGTATAAGAACTATCCTGAAATCAAAACTGTAATAGGTATTTACTTTATATGGTCTGTACATACTTTGCTATAAACAATGGTAATCGTAAATCACACAGGATGTTCAAAATTCTACGCCAATCTTTCTAAAAAATAAAATAATGTTTTTTTTTTTTTTTTAAATGGAACACCCTATATATTATTTTTTTAATAGGAGAATTAAAATTAAAAAGTCGTCTGCAATTTGCAGACGACCAGGCCATAATTGCAAACGACAAAGATGACATGGAATATATGGTGCGGAAAATAATTGAAGAATATGCTAAATGGGGTCTCACAGTAAATACAGAAAAAACAAAATACCTTCCAATTGGAGCTAATACAGAAAATCTTATTTTAGACAATAATATGGAAATTAGGGCATGTGAAGATTACAGGTGCCTGGGATCGATATTTACAGGAGATGGAACGGACGATAGAGAAATAAACAACAGAGTAATACAACAGGCACGAAGAGTTATCAGATGCATAAATGGCATTCTATGGAGCACTGAAATTACAAAAAACAGGAAATATAATATATACGAGACACTAGTTAAAAGCATATTACCTACTCTATGGATGTGAAACATGGCGACTCACTGAAAGAAATAAAAGGAAATTAGAGACAACAGAAATGGACGCGATTAGAAGAGCAATGAGAATTTCACGGAGGGATACGATCAGAAATGAAGACATTAGACAACAGATGGGAATAGAGGGAACAATAGTAAATGATATAGAACAAAAACAATTAATATGGTACGGCCACGTTCAGAGAATGCACAATGAAAGAATTCCAAAACAAGTCATTCATTGATACCACTGGTAAACGAAAGAGAGGACGTCCCAAGAAAACATGGATGGAAGGAATAAGAAGGTCGATGAGCGAGAAAAATCTGACCGAAGATCAATGGGAAAATCGCACAGGGTGGAAGTTAGGCATCGGACAACGTCGTAGGACGTTCTGACCCGAATTTATATATATTAAAAAAATGAACATTTTTTGTATTTAGAGTATTTCACAATTTTTAATGGTTTTGCAGATATTCGCGGTTATATATTTCATATGGCTTTTTGCAGAGTTAATTTTTATCAAAGCTATCCAATGACTTTTCTTTGGTATTTTACCATTGAAAAAGTCATATTAAATAATACTGCATGTATCTGCAAAACTATTAAAAATTTTGAAATACAGGCAGTCCTCGATTTACGTCGTTTCGTGTTACGTCGTTTCGAGTTACGTCAAACAAATTTTTGTCACTATTCCTCAAAGTTACGTTCCACTGTTTCGAGTTACGTCATTTTTTGAAAAGAACGATCCAAATTTTAAAAGAAGTTTGGACATAAACAATAAAATTTTAGCAACATACAAGGTTGACAGATCCTCATTATGAAAAAGCGGGACAGTGTTGATCATTATTTAATTAGCAACTATTACGACTTTTGACGATATCCACAATAAAAGTTCCAACCAAAAAAAAAATAAATATATACTTTCTAAATATGTTTACTTTACTCTCTGGTATTTCTGTAGTTGCTATATTAGTATATGTATTATATTTACTATTATATGGATAGTTAAAAATACTTTTTTGATTAGATAATGAAAAAGCCAGGACTGTAAAAATACTCGCCCTAATTTGTTTTTCATAAAAAAATACTTTTTTTATATTTCTGTTTTTTTTAGTTTTTTTTTTGTTTCTTGTATTATAAGTTTAACTATATACAATACACTGTTTCTCATACCTCAATTGTTTAAAAATATAATAATATTAATATATACACGCACATTTCTTTATTTTGTCGTATTTTTATCTTACAAAAGTACCTAACTTCTCCATTTTCTATAGGATCTTATGACAAAATAAGATTCGACTTACGTCGTTTCGACTTAGGCGCTATTTTGAAGAACCTAACCCGCCGTAAGTACGAGGACTGCCTGTACTTAATACAAAAGATGTTCATTTATTAACTCTCCATCTAATAAAACAATAATATGCAGAGGGTGTTTCATCTAAAAAAAAACAAAGAAGAAATATTTTATATCTTACATCCTGTATGATTTAAGAGTACGATATTTATAGCAAAGCAAATAAATACCTAATATAGTTTTGATTTCAGGACAGTATTTCTTGTATTTGTAATAATGCTGTTAAGGAAGGCTGAAAAATATATATTTTTTTGTTATTTATATCTTTGAAATTACCCAAATATATTTACTCGTATCTTATTCGATTATTAGATATTACTCAGATTATGTAAAGTGATCTGAAAGGAAGCAAAAAATGCAATAATATCAGGGTATTCCGTTTAAAAAAAACGTCCCAATCCACTCACACTTTTTTGGGCCATCCTATAGAAGTTAAAATATTTTCCTGAAATATATATCCTAGTATACATACTTTAGGTTTGCGTTTAAACAAAATTCTCAAGTTTTTTGCCGAGTTTAGTAAAAATAAAACATAATACCTCTTCTAGTACGTTCCATAACAATTTATCGTCAAATTCATTAAATGGATCCAAGTTGTATCTTAAAGTAGCACTGAACAATACTGGCTCTTGAGGAATAATAGAAATTTTCTTCCTTAGATCATTCAAGCCTAAAGTCTTTGTGTCGATGCCGTCAATTATAATTTGACCCTCGATGGGGGCTAGTCTAAATAATGCAGAAATTAGTGACGATTTTCCAGCTCCAGTTCTTCCAACTATACCGATCTAAAAATTAAATAATTCTTTTAACAGTTTATGGAGTTTACAGTGAATCATAGCTGAAACAAACATTTATGATTGTATATGTAAAAAGAGAAAAGAAGAATAATTTTGCTAAAGATTTTACATATGGTAGTCGCAAAACAATTTCCGATGCACGTAATCAACTTTGAGTGACAAACGATGGCGGCAACGCTGCCAGATTGTGATGGATTTATGAGATTGGGAAAAAATGTGCAACGTTCAGTGAACACAGCGGCTGATCGACTGCTGAGAATTTTGCTCAGCGGCTGGCCGTTGTTTGTGTGTAAAAATCGACCGTTTAAGAAGAGACCGGGAAGTCGCTTACTCAGCCGCTCAGTCGCTGACCATCCCTAAACGCGCACATTATATTTATTATATAATTTTTTAAAGATTTTTACGTTTAATTTTTAATTTAATAATTAATATTTTAGTAACTAATTTATTTAGTAACAGTAGTCACTAACACTTACAGTAGGAATATTTAAATTTAAGGAATCAGCTACACGCTACAAATCGAAATAAGTGGAAATAACTTTGAAAGTGGTATAACGTGCTTACCAATCAAACTTACTGCTCTGACTGCCGTCAAGGGTAAGAAAGGACCTTTATTCTCACGTTCCTGTGCCTTTGTTATGCAGATATCAAGCTTTCACTTTTTTCAAATATTGATATATTGACTGATGTAAATCTTTTGAGTTACCAATAGTTACCAACACAGGTAGTCACAGTCACAAGGAGTTCAAGCTGAACAGGTGAATGCCCAAAAGTTTTATTTCAATCGGATTGTATAAAAACGAAACAAAGACTCGGTAAAGGGTTAATTGAAGAGCATTCAAAAGAAGAATTGGGTTTTGAAACCTTAACTCCATCGAAAAGCACTGAGTTTAAAAAATTAATGGCTGCCCGTACACGGAAAGGCCCGGCCTTCGAACTTAGCCTTGAGGCCGGGGCTTTCGCCCAAATTACCATAGCGGGAATATATCCGCGGACTTTGCCTTTCACGCAAACCATATGGTTGCTATATATTAGACCATTTACTACGTTCTTAGATTTTAAGTCCCAAACATCGCTCCTGAGATTTTGTCCCGCTAGAATAACCATCCGGAGCGCTGGACGAAGAATTTCGGGAAAGCTCCCGCCAGCGGGCGGCTGGCGGTTGACTATGAATACGACTGTTAGAATCAAATGGAGTAACGTCGGAGTCCGACGACAGGTGTCGCGCGACAGTTTTTATCCAACATGTCGTCTAAGCGACCGACGACGCTACCGACATTTGTTCACTACTGTCGTGTCGTTATTCATATGCACACGCAGATTTTTGACAAAAAAAATCGATTTTACCGGGGAGGAAGAAAAAAAAAGTCTTCTAAAAGTCGTCTCATCGCTGAATAAATGTTTTTTTTATGAGTAAGGAATAACTTGCTTCCCTAGGTCTGTTTTTAAACAGAGATAAAATGGGGTTTCTTCATCATCTTCCATCTGTAATTCAAGGAACACATTTTTCTCAATCACGTAATCAGACATATTTATTAATTATTATAACTACTTCGCGAACGTCCTTTAAATACTGACAACTACATCGTATATCTCGCTCATATTGTCGCCGACATCGACAATGATATTACGACAGCGATAAGCGACACTGTCGCCTGTCGTTGTCGTCTGTCGCGGCCGCTTGTCGCTGTCGCCGTCTTCGGAATCATACCTTAACAGTTAGTTTTGACGTAGGAAACGTCAAAAGTGGATGTCGTCCGATCGCGACCAAATTTGGTGGGTAGGCTATTGAGCGACGGTGCACACGGGCCCACCCTGCAAAGTTGGATACGACGTTTCGTTTACATCTTTATCAGGGTAGGACTAAGGATTTGATATTGAAGAAAAATGTGGGTCGATTTTGGCATAATTGGGGACGGGTTACAGGATGACGCCCTCGACGTTTCGAACCGATGATGCCTCTAAATGGACGAAATCATCAGGATTTTTCTTAATTATTGGTCGATTGGAACCAAACTCAGCACGTGGATAGAGGTACCCGAATGGAGTGCTCAGACGGACAGACAGATTTAAAGTGGAGTTTCACTTCAAATATGCGCACATAGTGCACACACAATTTTTTTTATTAGAATTGAATGATTAAATTTTACATACCTTTTCCCCAGGAAGAATTTCAAAATCTAACTCCTTCAAAACAGGCGGCTCTCCTTGGACATATATCAAGCTCATTTGTCTAAATTCAATTTTTCCAGCTTTTGGCCAAGTGCCTTTAGGTTTTCGATCTAAGTAATAACATTAATGAAATACATTTTAGAATAATTAATTATCTCCTCTAATCTTACCTGATGGAGTTTCAAAGGGACCTTCATTCTCGAGCTGCGTATATTGTAATACTCGTTCTACGCTGGTCAACTGATTAATAACTTCCGCAGTTTGTCTCATGCCGTATTGTAACATTCCTGTTAGAATTAAAGATTGAGATATGGCCAGACCTACTAAACTTCCATTTTCTATGTAGCCATCTAAAAAATATATGTCAATTTTATTAATTTATATTTTGATTTTGAATTATCATTTCATACACTCTGTAGCTATTACAAATCCAAATGTGATTATAGCAGTGAATAACACACAAATAATATCCAACCACAGGCCAAAGGCAACTATACACATTATTGTTAAGAACCATGCGGATGTGTGTACATTCTAAAAAATATTGAACAATATTTATATTACAAATTTCAATGGTGATATAGCTTACCTGATGTTCATCAAATTCTTTTATCAAAGATTTTTCTGCTTGGGCGGCTCGAATAGTACTTAGGCCATTTAGTGTAGAGTTAATGTGAGAAAACATCGGAGATTTCGCTATAAAAAATATTACAATTTATTTTATACAGTGTCCTTCATTAAAGATGCTTTAAATTATTGGCTTATTTCCTATTCTTAAGATTAGACTCTGCTTCAAAAGTTACCTATAAATACATCTATTTGATTTTTAAATACATGTTTAAATATATGTATTTTTTTCAAATTGTTGAATTTGTAGGATTATTGTACCTTTATTCATAATTTTTGGTGAGTTTTTTTTTAACCATTTCGTTATATTATAATCGGTAGTTTTGATATACCATATACTAAAAGATCATGCTAAGTGGAAACCAATTTAAAGCGGATCTGAAGAACCTGGAAGACTCCATCCGTAAACTGGAATGGGAATCCCCCAAAAATTTAAGATAGTCGAAGAAATTTCTCAGGGTGTACCGTGAAAAATCAAGATTTTCATTCATTTAAGTAAGCAAGCCCTTCGGAATATCACAGGGTTTTTAACAGGGCACTGTCTGTCTCCTGGATGAACACTTCATTAGATTGAAGCTAAGAAACAATGGGGCATGCAGATTCTGTGAGGAAACATCAGAACGCCAGTGCACCGAATTTTTTATATAAATATAAAGTTGGTTATTGGTGAGGTTGATTGCGTTGGTTAGTCTGGGGTAAGTTTTTTGTTTGTTTAGATTTCACGCGAAATATTCCACCGATTATCGTTTATGCGCATGCGAAACTGCGGGTTAAGCTACACGGTCCGACTAGATGCAAGAACTAATCTAATATGTTTTTTTTTCGTAAATATCGTAATCTTCACGTCTTTTGTCTTTTCTTCTTTCAAAACGTAATGGTAAAAAAGGTGAAAACTAGCAACGCTGCAAGCAGTGATGGAGTGCTCTTTAGACGCCTGTTATCTAGTAGAGAAAATGGGTAAAATAAAACGTTTTTAAGCGAAAATTGGACAAATTCAAGATTTTTGGGATTAATTTTGAATATCTTAAGATAAAAAAATGAATTACAAAAAGTATAATTTAATATTTTATATTTAAATGTAATGTTTATGTTTAAATTATTTCTACAATAAAATTGTTCAGGCCCGTATTTTCTGCATAAAAGCACATATTGTCATTATTACCCAAGAACGGTAAAGTTTAGGATTGCTCATCCTCATAAGACGTACGTTCGCCTCTTCCCGCGCTTCAGCTGACAGTTGTGACGTCATTGTAGTCCTTGTCATGATAGTGTGTATTATTAGTTGCCTATGGTAAACTTATAAAAATAACAGCTGAGAAATTTTGAGTTAATTAGTTTGTCAATTTTAAATGTGAAAAAGGTGTTTTTAAAGTTTTTAGAGCTATAGAGTGTTTAAATACGTTCATTTTGTGTTGTGGATTGTGACAAAGTGCTTACTAAGTGCCTACGATATTTTTTATTAATTATTTTAAAGCAAAATATGAAAGTACTTTAAAAAGAATGCCTGCAAAGGGTGATGCTGGGAACTGATATTCTTAAAAATGCAGTATCCGAATATTTAATACGTTTTATACAGTTAATTTTCTATACTGCATACATATAAGGTGTTTAAATAAATAAACTAAATAATGAACGTTTTGCATCCGGCAACCAATAATGGACGTGTGTATTATTGATTGCTGGATAAGGACTAATAACCATGACAAAGACTACAATGACGTCACAAAGCGAGGAATTTTCGCATGCACCTGGCAGACACTTTTGGCTGAATGAGCAGTCCTATTAGGTTAACTGTTTTTGATTATTACCTATACAGAGATTTAATGTGTGCATGAGCATGGCATTAACTATATCGAGTTTTTAGTCTTACTTGAGCATATTTAAATCAGTGGCGGCTCGTGGTCATTGTTATAAGGAGCTCAATATATCTAAATACATTGCGTCAATTTCTTACAATGTACTTATAGATACGTTCAAGTTAAAGGAAAATAAATCTAAAAATAAATACAAAATCGGTTAAAACCTACCGTCACTTTTCAAAGAGGCGGTCTAGTGCCATTTCACTAAAAATCCAGTCACTGTTCTTTACACAAATGTTCCACGTTAGGGTTTAAAAGACACTTAAATAATAATGCCAAAAAAATATAACTACATATATACACATACACATTTCTAAAAAGTTTTATTTCACATTTTTCTATATTTTAAGTCAATGCGGCGTTCTTTGGAGATCGCGAAATGATCTATCACCAGTTCGTTAAAATTACCAATGTTTTTTATCATAGACTTCTCCACACTTAACATTGTCAAAGCGCACAACCTGTCCTGTCCTATAGTATTTCTTATTAAACTTTTTATTCGTTTTAACGTTGAAAAACTGCGCGCACTTTCAACAGTTGTCATGGGTATCGTACATAAAATGTTCAGAAGCTTAATTGTTTCGGAAAATGTAGTACTTAAATTAATGTTGAAAAAAAGCTTTAACAGTTCTGTAGCTCCATCGTTGTCACGAAAGTCTTCTCTATCAAAAATTACATTTAATTCCGTTTTTAATTTAGCAGAATCTATAATAGGATAATTTACTTTAATTAACTCTAAAATATCCTCTGGAAACTGTTGTTTAAAATTAGCATAGTTTTCTTTCCGGATTAACTGTTCTAAAACAAGGTGGTCAGAAAATTTAAAGCGATTTTCAATCTCTACAATAATTATATCGCATATCTCTAGAGCTATTCGCTTTTTTGATTCAAGGTCGCCTCTTTGTCGTTTATTATTTTTCTGTTGTTCAGGGATCTTTTTATCGTTTAAAATAGTTTCCCGAATCCTTTGAATCGTCTGCTGAAAATGTGATGTCATTCTTTGTACTTCTGTAGCAACTAATTTTCTTTTTTTTTGTAAATTGTTAAATATCTCAGAGTGAGGTAAAATTAAATGAAAAATATTTAACCAATACACAAAATCACTGTTTTCTAAATGGTTTAACAATCCTGTAGCTTGTTGTAAAGTGACCGAATCGTCCTCTAACTCAATAATTCTTTCCAAGCAAATTTTAATATTTTCTTTATTTTCAAAAACAGTTTCTACACACCTTGTATTAAAATACCATCGTGTCGGAGCCGCTCTAGGAAATCGTTTTTGTAGTATTTCATCTAAAACTTCTGTTCTTTTGGGGGACCTTCCAAAAAAACTTGAAAATGCATGTAGATTGGCAAAAAATATCTTGATGCATTTTTCTTTGCTAGCAGCTTTTTGCAGTATCAAATTAAGGTGATGAGCATAACAATGCACATAATGAGCGTTGGGATATTTCTCTTTAATTTTAATTTGAACGCCACCGAAGTTTCCACTCATTACTGAAGCGCCATCATAACATTGAGCAATAAGTTTTTCTGAACCAATCCCTAAAATGTCCAATTCATGAAAAATTGCTTTTGCCAAATCATTTGCCGTCTTGCCCTCCGGTTTTATAAAATTCCAAAATCTTTCACAAATTGTTCCTTCTAGAATATAACGAATTATTAAAACCATTTGAGTGTTATTTGAACTGTCGGTGGTTTCATCTACTTGAATGCATAAAAAAGGAGCTTCTTTCACTTCGTTTTTAATATGGTCTTGTGCAACAAATAAAATAGAATCTAGTAAGTCGTTTTCAATAGTTTTTGACACTTCTTTAAAAGATTTACTATGTTCTAGATGGTCTTTAAAAATGAAATCTAATTCAGCCACAAAATTAATTAGCCCCCGAAAAACACCGGGATTTTCTGAAATTTCACATTCATCGTGACCCCTTAGAGCAAGCTCGAAAGCTCCGCAAAATTTTATACAGTTTAAAATTTTATTTAAAATATATCGATTTTGGGTGACGTTTTCATTAAATTTCTGCACAGATTTTCGGTAAGTGCTATCAAGTTGCAATCGTATATCTACTCTGCCAAGTGCTGAAAAACTGACCATACACTTAATGTGATCGGCTGACAAAGAGTGCTTCTTGATCTTCTCCTTTAAATGTTTTAAATCAGTCACCCCTGTTTTACACCACACATCGTTTGTAGATGAAAACAACAAACAAGGAAAACAAAAAAACATGTTCCTGTCTTTACAGCCACATATAAAGTCACATAAATCGTACATTGTTTTTTTAAAATACCGATTTACACTCTTGTTTTTATCTTGGGTCACTTGTTTTAACGTTAATTCCGGCAAAGGCCGACCAGTGTTTTTACACTCTAAACGTTTTTCGAAATTTAAGCAATCGTTTTCTTTTAATCGCACGATTTCACAAACTAAACACAATGTTGTTGGTTCCGACATTTTAAAATATCTATTCGAGAATCAGTCAACAACAGTTCATTATTTATTCATAAACAGAACATTATTAATTAAATTTAGCACTACACCTCAAACACTCGGGCTACGACAAAGCTACGACAACCGACAATTAAAACTAGATCGGATTTATATTGACCAAACCAAACATTATACGATAAATGATACAAAAACCTTTTTGTATTATAATTTCAGTTTTTATAAACACCCAAACCGCCTAAACTGCGTAAAATTTCCGGCGATATGGCTGAAATTAAAAACCGAGCTGAACTGAAATCCTTTTACGAACGACGCGGTCAATGGCCAAGGCCATTTGCCAATATAGACTATAGCTATCGCACCTTAACCAATTATGTTTCCTATACGTAGTATACCTTACCTTGTTGGCGTCACGAGCCGCGGCTTAGACAAGGAAAGGGGGCAACCAAACCTCTCTTTCCTTGTTTAAGAGCCGCGGCATTTCGAGCCAGGGTTGCCACAAGCTACACAATTGTGTACTTTGCTACACATTTGCTTCAATGATTGCACAGCTACATCACAATCGCCTGAGTTACACATTTTCAGAATTTACATAATATTTCGTATAAAAAATAATAGCAGATCAGTAAATTAACTGACAAAAGCTGATTTTTTTGCTTTTAATTTATATAAGTTAGTATATCAAAAGAGGCCACAAGAACTGACAAATACCATCATTTTCAGTTACTAGACATGAAATATATTTACAGAATCGCGTTGCCGGTGTTTAGTAAACTGAATATGAACTGGGTCATGAGTCAAAAGCCAATAATAGACAATAACCGCCTAAAAAAATCTTTTAAACGGCCAAAGTACATAATACCTACTTTGGCCAAATTTTACTGCTTAATTACGTCACTGTAGTCACAGTCTCACCTTCACTTGTTTACATATTATCCATATCACTGGAATATCATTCAGTTCCTATTTCACTTCCTCCCATGTCAGCAACGACTGGAGATTCTATGGACAAATTTGGCCGATTAAACAGTCCTGAATATTTTACAGTTTTTAACAACAAACCGGGGTTTAACAAAATTAACCGGTCTAATTTGTCCATAAATCGTTAGTTTCGCGGCATCAATTTTGACGTTACTGCAATCCTTGCTGGCATGAGAGGAAATGAAATGGGAAATGAGAAATTAATATATTGACGTATACAAACGAGTGGAAGTGACATTCATAATCATGTTTTAAAATTTGGCGAACGTATGTCTTATTGGATAGTTTACAGTTTTAATGGTAATGAATGGTCAAGTTCTACACAATCAAAAATTTTCTTGTGCCAACCCTGTTTGGAGCTTATAGCGGGAACGAAGGACAAAATTAAATTTTGACCGGTACCTGTGACCGGTACCTACCTAATAAAAAGCGTCTAAAGAGCACTCCATCACAGCCAATGACTAAAGAATACAAGGACGTGTAACGGCCATATACGGGCTGCACCAGAATTTGTGACCTTAGACGCCATTTTTCTGGACATAACGAATGAGTCATCAGATGATCATCAGCGACAATTTTAGCGATTTTTAATAGTTGGTTGTGTCTAGTGAACTTTGTATAAACTTTATTACAATGGTAATTTGTTCAGCTTTCAAGTGTAAAAGGCGCAATAATAAGAAACAGCCAGGAGTTAGGGTTTTATAGGGAAATAAACAGTCCACTACACCTTTTTAGCGTTTTTTTTAATTGAATTCGATAATTATTTTTCTGATATTATATGTACTTGGTATGTGCTATACGTCGATACTGGTTTTGTACCTTTCGTTAACATTTTAATACGTTTATTTCGTAATTAATTAATATGATACCAAAGGATACACCATAGGCGTAGTGAAAACATTTACCAAAAATATAAATATCGCTTCAAGCGGCTGTTTGGAAGAATGGTCACAGTTTGGTCTCGGGTCTCAGGTGCTATTTGTCCTTGTATTCTTTAGTCATTGATCACAGCGGTGGGGTTGTCGTGTAGCCATTGGAAATTTTAGCGCTGTTGTCAGATTGTACCAACGGCACCTTATTTTATGAACGGCAGAAAGTAACGTCTAGGCAGTTCTGCAAGAGCAGCTGTGGGCTGTGGCTCCGTGACTGAGGCCGTCGCGTCGCTTCGTGAACGAGAGGTCCGTGGTTCAAATCTCGCCCCGAATCAAAACTTTTATATTTTTTTTAAAGCTGTTTTTATTTTTAAAAATAGCTGTAAATATTTAATAGCAATCAAAATACGGATTGCGTTGGTTTTTATGAAATTCGCGCAAAGCATTTATTGTTGGGATATACGTAGATGCTTGTGGGTTCGAGCCACGACATATATTGAACTTTTTTATATTTTTTTACCAGTGTCGAGGTTGAGAGGTTGGTCTAGTGATTTAATTGCGTTGGTTTCACTCTTTTTGGTGGAGTCAGATTGGTTATTTGGTGATGTTAGTTGCGTTGGTTAAGTTGGTTATTTGGTGAGGTCGATTGCTTTGGTTATAGTGTTGGTTAGTCTCTGGGGTATTTTTTTGTTTAGAGTGCACGCGAAATATTTCACCGATTATTGTTTATGCGTATGCGGAACTGCGGGTTAAACTTCACGGTCCGACTAGAGAGAAAACGAGTAAAATAAAACATTTTTAAGCAGTAATTGGACAAATTCAAGATTTTTGGGATTAATTTTGAATATCTTAAGATAAAAGAATAAATTACAAAAAGTATAATTTAAATTAAAATTAAAAAAGGGTTTTCTGATTTTCTCCTAATTTTTTTCAAGAGACATTGACCATTTGACCTCATGGTTAAGCCGCCACTGTTTTAAATACAGGGTGGCATACAAACATTTCTACACTTGTAATACTGTTTTATATTTTTTTGTCGTCGACCAATTTCAAAATAAATGAAATATTGAGTGCACTGATAAGGCAATTTAGAAACTTTTCTGTATCTGAATTTCTTTTTCTTAATATACAGGATTAGGCAATAGTGCGTCGGAGGTCCTAGAATAAAAAACTTGGGATTTTTGTTTAAGTGCACACCTAAAGTATGAACCAGAATGTATTTCAGGAAAATATTTTAACTTCTACAGAGTGGATCAAAAAGGTGTGAGTGGTTCCTTTCAGATAACTTTACATAATCCTAAGATATGAGTAAATATTTTTTGATAGTTTCAGAGATATTAATAAATAAATAAAAATCATTTTTTTTTAGCCTTTCTTAAAAAATATATTAAAAATACAAGAACTGCCCTGAAATCAAAACTATATTAGGTATTTACTTTAGATGGTCTCAACTTAACCTTGCTATAAATACCGCAATTTTAAATCATACAGAATGTTCAAAATTCTACGCCAAACTTTCTAAAATACAAAATAATTTTTCTTTGTTTTTTTTAATCTATAATATTTTTTCAATAGATGGAGAATGGAGAATTAAAAAATGAACATTTTTTGTATTTAAAGTAGGTATTTCAAAATTTTTAATGATTTCGCAGGTACACGCAGTATTATTTCATATGGCTCTGTCAATGGTAAAATACAAGAGAAAAATTATTGGCTGGCTTTGAGAAAAATTTACTGTGAAAAATGCCATTATGAAATATAAAACAGCAAATATCTGCAAAACCGTCAAAAATTTTGAAAAACTCTAAATACAAAAAATGTTAATTTTTTAATTCTCCATCTATTGAAAAAATAATATACAGGGTAATCCATTTAAAAAAAAACGAAGAATAATTATTTTATATTTTAGAAAGTTTGGCGGAGAATTTTGAACATCCTGTATGATTTACGATTACCATATTTATAGCAAAGTAAGCACAGACCATCTAAACTAAATACCTAATAATAAGTATAATTCCAGAGTTTTTTATTCTAGGAGCTACAGATGCCCGATGCACTATTGCCGGACGCTGTATATTGTATAGAAAATAATGTATCAAAGTATCAATTTCAATTTTAATTGGTACAGTGTAATTTTGAAGCAAAGTTCTATAGAAAGAATGATATTTTGCTTAATTTAGAAGAATAAATTATAAAAATTTTAGTACCTATTCCTTCCAAATGTTTAATATCCTTGGCGCTTGCTATATACCAATTTCTCAACTTCAGAAATATTGCTCCCAACACAACAATAGCAATTATCATAAAATAATTTGATATTGACACATTAATAAGAATTCCAACCATCACTAGTATAATCTGAAATCAAATAGATAATTATAACTGTACACATTTTCAATTACGATCTAAATTACTGTTAAGGCGTCCATTAACACCCTGGGCAATATTTCATCTATGGCGCCCATATCCTTAGAAAATCTATTAAGAACTCTACCGCTAGGATTTACGTCAAAAAATCGCATTGGAGCTTCTAACAAGCAGTGAAACATCTTTCTGTGAATATTCGTAGACGCTTTCATGGACATTTTATAAAATACCATTGCTCTGGATGTGGTCAGTAATATAGCACTGACTATTAAAGCAGAATATATGTAAATGGACACATCTGTTTTCAGAAGTTGATAGTGTGTGCCGTCAATAACAACATCGTCAAATATAACATCTCTATCAAATATCTTTATATTAGACTGATTAATCTCTGTAGCAAAGATAACGTCTGACTGATTAAGGACTGTATTATTTATACTTGTATAGCGTATATCCTCTTGACTAGTCCTGTTAAAAAAAATATGAGTATATTTTGCAATAACCTAAAATATAAGTATCTATACCAAAAAGCAACCCAATAATCTGTACCAGTGCACGCCAGCATGGATAATAAGAACAAAATGAACACAAATATTAATAGACAAAAACTGCCTACGGATTTGAAATAATCTTTGAACGGTGTACTGCCTTCGTAACCACCAGACTCCTCAGCATCATCTCCTCTTACTGTTTGATCAAAAGTGGATTCAGCAACACTCTAAAATTCCCTTGTTAGAAATGTTACATTTACTTGTGTAAATTAGTATTCTGGCTTACAAAAATAGACATTTTGCGATTTTTGATATCTTCAGCATGAGCTTCTTTGATTTTCTCTTTGTCATCTTGAGTTTCGTCAGCTGCTGCTAGTAATTTTGTAAAATCTAAATTGCTGTTGACTAGTTCTTCGTAAGTTCCTCTTGCTTCTACTCCACCCTAGTTTAAACAATAGAATTCTATATTTAGTCCAAGGGTATGATCATATAGAAAAAGTCTCGATGATTTAAGTGAAGGTGAGAATTGAGAATATCAGTTGCAGTTCACCATTTCGGCGATGTAAATGGTGAACAAACTAAATATTGTTTCCTTCCTTGTTGTCTTTTCGTTGTTTGGGAGTGTGATAATAAATTGGGAATGTGATATTCAGCAGTTAATTGTCACATTTTCAAGGAGTGCATTCAACAATCAATCCCAGAGACGAGCACTTGGAAACGCAAGTGAGTAATAGAGGGGTGTCTCACTTGGGTAAAAAATGTACATCTACTGCCAAAATATCATTTTACTGCCAAGCGACTGCCAATGACTGCGAAGAAGGCTGCCTAGGACTGCCATGTAATTATTATTGGCGACTGCCAATGACTGCCAGCAACTGTCATGAACATGTACATTTAATTTCAATAGCGAGACACCAATCGGGAGTAAATCTCTGAAAATATGCTTGCGTCAACTCCCATTAAAGAATATAAGAAAAACCTTCTTCACCTAGGAGAGGCTAAACCTTGACGATCCCGATGGCGGGACGCTCCTAGTCAGGTGCTAGGGGGAATCTCCTCTATGGTACTACCCCAATCTCCTAGTTGAGTCTAAGGACCGCTGTATTGCTGTTGCTGGAAAGCTGTCTAACACCGGGAGACAAGCAGTTTCAGCAAAGACCAACTTTGTCAGAACTTCAATGTAAGGAGATCGAATTGGCAAGTCATCAATTCGATGGAGAACATCCATGGACCATGAATAGGTCCTCACTATAGGAATTTACCTCAAATCCAAGGAGGCAATAGAGAAAGAGAGATATATATTCTATTATAGATTCGATCTGTGAAGGGCACGGATGGCTAAACTCCAAGCGTGGAGACTTTAGAGAATGGACTCGTAAACTTTAGAGAATGCCTCGTAGGAGGTACATTCCTCGGAGGATGAACATCGGTTGTCAGAGGAGAATGGAAATACCCTGTCACTCCTATAACAGGAAAATGCCCATGTATGCTGAGTTATGGACTGTATGATGAGTTATAACTCAAGAAAGGGGGACAGAATAGATCTTTAAGGTCGCGTTGATTAAGTCTTCTTCCTTACAAATATGACTGCATTGGAGACAGTGCTGTCCATCGGCGTTTTTTTGGATATATTATGGTTTTCATAATAAAAATCGACGTAACCTTGAAAATAACCTATGAGGCCGTGGCCCAACATAGCGGCGCGCGTAGAGCGGAGAGGAGGGGACAATAGAAAAAATACGCCTATTTAGTAGGCCACTTCCATTTACTTCAATGTATTTAAACGCTTCTCGGTCCACTCCGCTCTCCGCTACGTTAGGTCATCATCGTACGCTTCATGTGGGGCCACGCACTAAGGAGTCATTAAGTGATGCATCGAGACTTCTTCGTGATGTTCATACCCTATTCGTATTATTCGTCAAACCTCATTTAAAACTAAAATGATGTCAGCTTTCTTCAGATATTGCAGTTGGTGTGTTACTAATATTCTCGTCTTTCCTCTAAGATGCTCCACAATACATTTTTCAAATAAATGTTTGCCGACGTGAGTGTCAACAGCAGAAAGTGGATCGTCCATCAAGTATATGTCAGCTTGACGATAAATAGCGCGAGCTAGATTAATCCTCGCACGTTGCCCACCACTCAGTGATACACCTCTTTCCCCTACCATTGTCTTGTCACCTATGAAATAATTATAGAAATAAAATTAAATACTAAAAGCCATAAAGTAGAAGACAAATATGATTTACTAAAAAAAAACGGACTTCCACTGCTCTTACTTCAACAGTGTTTCTATAATATTCATTTCTATCGAAATCTTCCGCCATCTCGACTGGACCAGCAAAGGATTGAGAATAGATGGAGAATATCTTAACCATCTAAGATTCGCTGATGGCATAGTCCCAATTGCAAATAGTTCTAAACAACTACAAGTACAAATTAACGAACTAAATGCAGGCAGCAATAAAGTAGGTCTCAAAATGAATTTAGCAAATACTAAAGTGATTCGATTGAAAGACATTCTAATAAATAAACACACTGGAAATAGTAGGAGAATATATATATATTTGGGGCAACTAATACACAGCTCGGGATCTCTACTACAATAAATCAACAGAAGAATTAAGTTAACATTGAGTACTTATGGAATAAACTCCATATTCAAATCTAGAGTGCCACTTTACCCAAAGAAGAAAACATTCGACCAATGTTTACTGCCAGTCATGACTTAAAATGCGACCTGGACACTTAAAACGGACATTATCAGGAAACTACAGGTCGCAAAACGCTCAACGGAACGAAATATGCTGGGAATAATCAAGTACGACAAAAAACCCAGGTAATAAACGTCATCCACAGAATCAAATCCCTCAAGTGGCAATGGGCAGGATACCTGGTAAGAAGAAGGGACAACAGATGGACCACAAAAATTACAGCATGGTACCCACGAGGAATGAAGAGACCTAGAGGAAGACCAAACCTGAGATGGAAAAGCAGAGAAGGAAATTAGCAGCGATAACTTGAGCCTGATACCGAGCAATAACTTGAGATAATTTGAAACCAAATTACTTAAGATGTCCATCTAGACATAAAACATTGGACTAAGCTATTAAAAATAAAGAAAATGGAAGTAAATATTAATATTTTATTATCAAATTATTTAACTTACCATAAGGAAATTGTTTAAAGTCTTGTTCCAACGCGCAGACATGTGCAACCTTATTGTACAATGTAGAGTCATACGGTTTCCCAAACATAATATTTTTTCTTACGGATGCAACGAATAGCCATGGTTCTTGAGACGAGTATGAAATTGATCCACCAATTTGAAGACTTCCTTCGGTAGGAGGTACTTCTCCTAAAAGTAACTATAATTGAATGTGTTACTAATAAATATGTTTCCTTAAATGATATGCTAGTTATACTTGTAATAAAGAACTCTTTCCCGCACCAACAGGACCAATAACCGCGCACAGTTTTCCTTCTGGTACAACTAAATCAACGGCCTTCAATATGGGAGTGCCCGGGACCCATTCGGCACTAATACCAGATAAAGTTATACCTTTATCTACCACTTTCTCCACTAAGGATTCTTCTTTTTCATCCAAGATGAGTATTTCTTCTAATCTTTTTATTGCTACCCAAGCTTCTGCACCCATACTAATTGCCATGGGATAAAGAATAGCCAGAGCCACTAAAATATAGTTTGAAATATCTACACTCAATGTACAATGTACAGGGTGGGTCAAATTCGATGCTTTTAAAGGGAATCTAACATCGGTGTCTGGAGCTCAATTTTTATCAAAAACATGATGGTGAAAACCGCACATCGATATCTGTTTCGGAGTTACGGGGTCTCAAAAATGTGCATTTTTAACAAATCGCTGTAACTTTTTTGCTATGGAAAATTTTGTATTTTTATGAAAACATTTCCAAAGCATCTTTTTATGTAGAATTTAATAGATCAAGTATAATTTTTTTAAAATTACTAATTTAAGAGTTATCAACAGAAAAATTGATGTGGGACACCCTGTATATTTATAATTAAATGAAAAGAACTTAAACCAAACAAAAAAAAAGAACTTTCTCAAAAATATGATACTTGATATTTTGTTATACTTGATATTTTGTTATAAACAAAGAAGTTCGCCACTTTTAACTAGTAGGCTTTGGACCCCTTATTGATTTTCTGCCCCTAATGGAACTCGAAAACATATTTTTCCAGTAAGACGAGGCATCGCCTCAGAAAGCTGAAGTTATCAGCAGTTTTTGCAGCCAATTTCGAGAATAATTATTATTGACCTAACCAAGATCCCAGCCGTTGGCCATCGAGGCCGCCGAACTTAGTGCCTATAGATTTTTACCTTTGCGGAAGAATAAAGGTTTTTTTTTTAAATTGTCCATATAACCTAGACAAGAATTAGAAGTACTTAGCGGTTATGCGAGGGTAACTTTCATCCCCACTGAGTTAATGAATTCCGCGAGAAATGTTCCAAAACCAAAACATTCCCGTCTGTCCATAACAAAAGAGGGTCGACATGTCGAACAACTGTAGCAAAATCTCATGTCTTGGTTTGCTATTAATTTTTATTGTTATTAGATATAGTTTAAATGTGTCGATGTTGCTAAATATAATTTACATTGTTATAAAATTCTGCATCTCTCATTGCAAATGTTATTTTCGTTTTAACTGCTACAAGGAAGAATTTTTTTGCATTACAGCCGGTGCAGTTCAAAGCCTACTTATTTTTAAAAACTCTATATCTCGAATGGGAATCAAGCAAAATATCAAGTATGCTATATTTTTGGAAAGGTAATTTTAAATTATTTTCAATCAATTAAAAATATACAGGGTGTCCCATATAAAAAATCAAATTTTTTGTTGATAATTCTTAAATTATTAATTTTAAAAAAATTATACTTAAACCATTAAATTTTACGTAAAAAGGTTCTTTGGAAATGTATTCATAAAAATACAAAATTTTCCATAGTAAAAAAGTTCTTCTTTTTCTTCCTAAGGTGCCTTGCGAAGGTTGGCGACAATCATGACTAATTTTATTTTGTTGACTGCTGCCCTGAACAGGTCGCTTGATGTACAGTTGAACCATTCTCTGAGATTTCGAAGCCACGACAGCCGTCTTCTTCCTATGCTTCTCTTCCCTATTATTTTACCCTGGATAATTAGTTGTAGAAGCTTGTATCTTGTACCTCTCATTACGTGGCCCATATATTGGAGTTTTCTGATTTTCACCTCTTGGGACAATTCTAGATCTTTTGAGACTCTTCGTAAGACTTCTTCATTGGTAATTCTGTAACATATGATATCTGGAGTACCCTTCTGTAAAGCCACATCTCGAAGGCATCTATCTTTTTAAGCATTTATTTTGTTAGAGTGGCAGCTTCTATACCATAGAGCATTATTGTAAATATGTAGCATCTTAGCATTCGTATTTTAAGGTGGTTACTTAAAGTTTTGAAACAAAAGAATTGCTTCATTTTAATAAAGGTGTTACTTGCTATTTCAATTCTCGTTTTTAATTCTGATGAGTAATCATTGTTGTCGTTGATCAGGGTTCCTAGATATTTATATTTATAGACTCGCTCTATTATCTGATGGTTTACGATCAGTTGAGTATTTGATTTGGTGTTTTGGTAAATATCATGAATTTTCTTTTATTAAGGTTCATATTCAAGCCATAATGGATACTTGTGTTTCATACACTTTTTGGACCATTCTGTTGCAGGTCCTGTATACTTTCTGCTAGCAGTACGGTATCATCTGCGTATCGTATATTGTTTATAGGAACTTCGTTTACTACTACTCCAGCTGCTTCATTGTGTAATGCCTTCCTCATGATGACTTCCGAGTACATATTAAACAATAGCGGGGAAAGTATACATCCCTGTCGAACACCACGTTTGATGTTGCTGTTTTCCGTGTATTTATTGTCTATCTTGATGTTTGCTGTTTGGTCGTAATATAGGTTTTCAATAATTCTGGCATCTGTGGTATCTATTTGCTTTTCTCTCAGAATTTTGATAAGCTGTTCATGACGGACTCTGTCAAATGCTTTCTCATAGTCCACAAAGCAGGCGTACACATCCTTGTTAACATCCAAACAGCGCTGAGTCAACACGTTTATACTAAATAATGCTTCTCTCGTGCCAACTCCATTGCGGAAACCGAACTGTGTTTCGCTGATGTCGTTATCCATTTTTTTATACACACGGTTGTGAATTATTTTTAAAAATAATTTGAGTGTATGGCTCATTAGGCTTATGGTCCTATGATCTTTACATAATCTTGCGTTGGCTTTCTTAGGAATCACAATGAAGGTCGACACCAACCAGTCTTTTGGTATCGTTCCTGATCTGTAGATCGCATTGAAGAGCTCAGCAAGTGCATCCAAGCTATAGTAGTAAAAAGTATATCCAATAAGTAGTAAAAAGTACATCCAAGCTATAGTAGTAAAAGCTATACTAGTAAAAAAGTTAGCACCCCATAACTCCGAAACGGTAACAGATATCGATGAGCGGTTTTCACCATCATGTTTTTGATAAAAATTGTGCAGACATCGATATTAGTTTTTGTCTATCTCATATAGAAAATAGTGTTTCCCTTTAAAGGCGTCCAATTTGATCAACCCTGTACAGTGTTAGCGTATTGTTTTATCCCATTTTTAATATAAGGGAACTTTTTTGTAACTAGAAAATTAATTTAAAAAAATAAGGTCTTTAGTCAAACGTTGCAGTATGTTCCACTACATATCTAACGTGAAACCAATAAGCCTATTATAGTCTATTTCTTAATGCTTGATGGCATAGTGAGAAGGGGTTGGAGCCATAAAATATAATTGATCATTGCGCTACAATTGGTCATCCCGTTATAGGAAGAGAAACTTTGGACAGCTCTAAAGGAAATTAACCTCTCGTGGGAAAAGTATAGCCGGAAGTCTGTACTCATTGACAGAGAAGACATACAGTTCTTTAGAGAAGGGACATTCGTAAATATCACAGGGAAGGAAAATCTATCTTTTACCTAGACGAAACATGGCTGAAACAAAAAAAAAACATGTTCAGCAAATTTAAAAGATGTAGCCAAAACAGGAATATTACTATTGTTAATTCGCTTTTGCTTGTTGGGCTGTTCAGTATTAACTTTTATTAAGAGTATAAAGTGTGAGAATGGTTTATTCTCTTCAAGAAAGAACGAAAATTATTTTCATTTATGGAAAGGTTGGAAAGTGCGCACGAAGGACGGCATTGGTTTTTAATGAAAGAAATCAAAATCGTGAAGTAAGCCACAGATATGTGCTGGATATGGTGGCAAACTGGTTCGGTGAGTATTATAAAAAGAAATAACCTACGAGTACGAATACAGGAGCTCAAATTGAGGTTTTGGAATTATTTGCTGCAGAGCCCACTCGCTTCTAGTGGGCTGTAGTACAACAGACAGTAGCACAACAAACAGGAATATCACACGAGACTGTAAGAAAAACACTGAAAATGCATAAATTCCATTCATACAAAATGCAGATACTTCAAGAACTCTATGACGATGATTTTAATAGAAGAATAGAGTTTTGTGAAATCATCGTAAAGAGTCTTCAAGTTAACGCCAACCCTAACATTCTGCCGAATATCTGTTTTTCCGATGAATGTTCATTTTTTCTAAATGGAAATGTTAACAAACAAAATTGTCGATATTCGATATTTTCGAGAAGGACATACACAATATACCCAAAAAGTTAGTGTTTAGGCTGGTATTCTTGGAAATGCCATTATTGATCCTTTATTTATTGAAGGAAACTTGACAGATGATCCTCTTGTCACCCAAGACCTAGAAACTCAAATTGATGCAGAGGGTAAACCAGTTTTACAGGAGGATTTGTTAACATTCCAGCAGGACGGTGCTCCACCTCATTATTTTCTTCCGGTCCGACAGTGGTTAAACGAGAGATTTCCGGGTACATGGATTGGCAAAAGAGGACCAATTGAATGGTCTCCAAGATCACCGGATTTAACACCCTTAGACTTCTTTCTTTGTAGATATCTTATATCCATTGTTAATAAAACACAACCTACTGATATTGATGATCTTAAAAGGCGAATTACAGCAGAATGCCGGTCAGTTCCCGGTGAAGTTTTCCGAAACGTTAGGGAGGAGTTTGAAAACAGACTTTATTATTATTTACAGGAAATTGGACGACATTTTGAACAACTTATAAGATATGGCGTAAGTGGTAACCTAACCTTCTAATCATTTGTACTACAAACTAAATTTTGTGTAAACACTAGCCTGAGAACGAAAATCTCAATACAGGCATGTTTTTTATTGTTTTTGCAACTTTGAAACGCGATTATTCGGAAACCTCTGGACAAAAAGCAACAAACTAGGATACCACTGAAAAGAGAATTAAACGGCCTTTAAAACAATGTGAGACTTGACCCCCATTCCTATTTGAGATTGTAAGAGTGAAAACTATCGAAGTTGTTGGAAGAAAAAGGCTAAAAATATTCATTTAAAGTGTCCCCTTTACAAATAAAATTGATGTGTCCTTTCAATTTTTCATATTTTTAACTGCAAGAAAGATATTAAGGTTGGAAATTTTAAAATTATACAGAGTATACCCTCAAAATTAAATTGGTCCCATCTTTTGGCATGTCACACTGTACACAACAAAACGTCTTTTGCATTTATAATGAAGACCTTATGCTATCAAGCATTAAGAAATAGGCTATAATATTTGTGTATATTTTAATAAAAATTTATTAAAACTGATAAAAAAGACGTATTTAATAGATTTTTGTGATGAGAAACACATTAGTGCTATCTATTATCTTTTACATTCCTCAAAATAGAATTCTCTATCATGGCATGTACCATAAAATTTTAAAGTCTTTGTTAATAATAATTATTTTGGTAATACCGTATTAAGACTTTACTAAAAACCGTATAATTTAAAAAATTGGCTGTTAAAAGTGAAACAATAAAAATGCTACAACCTAACCAAACAATAATTAATAGATACATACACTGTAAAATATTAAAAAATTGAGCCATTGAAAATACAATATCGGCAGAGATTCTGTTACTAGCTAAAACATATGCTATAATGGTCACAAACAAGGTTAATCTTTCAATGAAGACATTGCAACTTGCATAAAATCCCCTCAAATAAGATGATTTGGTTAGAGAGGAAATTTCTTTTTCTCTAAGGTATTTAATAAGAGTTTCAAACGGCTTTTCCCAGGCATACATTTTTATAACTTGAATTCCTGATACAATTTCGCTCATATGTTTCACTCTAGTATCACAACGACTGGCAACTTTAAATCGTAGATCAGATGTAAGTTTTCCAAAATATGCTACAAAAAAATTATAATATCAATAGAAAAATAGGTGAAAAATTGTATTTATAGTACTTTGTAACGGAATCGTGATAATGATCATTGTGCCTATACCAACAAAACAATATATTCCTATGATACTATACATCAAATAAGCCACTATTGCAACCTGGATAGGCATTATCCAGAGAAAATGTAGAAACACAGAGACTAGATCAATTCGTTGGACGTCATTGGATAATAAGTTGATTACTTGTCCACCTGCTGTTTGACCTTGAGACCTCTTGTTCAATCTTGTTATCTACAAAATAGGGATTGAGAATTTACCGGCTTTTCAATTTACCGGTAATTTAGCGTGATCTCAGTTAAGGTTATTCAAAAATGAGACGGACATTTTGGATAAAAAAATACTTTTCTGTAACTTTAGATGTATTCCTAACATTTAATTTTTTTAATTATCCCGTTTTCCCTATTATTTTATGAGCTACACAGTTTTAAGTAAAGTACCTAGTGATATTTTTACTGTAAGTATTATGGAATGCGAGACGTGTCTGGCTTCCGACATAAAATAATCGAAGTTGGCGAAGTAGACTATTGTTTTTTAAGCATTATCTGACAGTGACAGTTAAATAAATAATTTGTTGGTTGCTGTCAACACACCATTAACTATTACAGAGGTTGGCCGAATCGTTGCCTTAATAGATAGAACAGCTGGGGGTGCCTATTCTACTGACCAAATTTAAAATCTCCTTTTTGAGATTAGTTGAAAGTAATACCACCTTAATTTTGCTAACAATAACATAATTACAACCTACCACCTAAAAATAAACTACTACCACCTTAACTTTGCTACTACCACCCAAAAATAAATTACTACCACCTTAATTGTGCTACTACCACCCAAATATAGACTACTACCACCTTAACTTTGCTACTACCACCCAAAACTAAACAACTACCACCTTAATTTTGCTACTACCACCCAAAAATAAACTACTACCACCCAAAGATAGACTACTACGACCTAAATTTTGCTACTACCACCTTAACTTTGCTATTACCACCCAAAAATAAACTATTACCACCTTAATTTTGCTACTACAACCCAAAAATAAACTACTACCATCTTAATATTGCTACTACCACCCAAAAATAAACTACTACCACCTTAATTTTGTTACTACCACCCAAAAAAAACTACTACCACCTTAATTTTGCTACTACCACTTTAATTTTGCTACTATCACCCAAAAATAAACTACTACCACCTTAACTTTGCTACTACCATCCAAAAATAAACTACTACCACCTTAATTTTGCTACTACCACCCAAAAATAGACTACTAACACTTTAATTTTGCTATTACCATCCAAAAATAAACTACTACCACCATAGTTTTGCTACTACCACTACCACTACCATAAGCAACATAAAAATAAAATGCAAAGATATCAGGAGTAAGAAAACAAACAAGATATATAAATATATAAATTAAACACTGCGATTTTAAAAATGCTGTTATGGTTTCATACAGTTAAATCTCGTATTAAGTTTTAAGTACTTAGTAGAGATTTTTTTTTCAAAAAGCAAAATATTTATTAACTATTTTATAACTCTACCTTCTACTAATTTAGACCCCATTGACTTATTGTTCAACTTGCAAACCTTTTTATTAAGTTCAGTTTTTAAAGTGTTTTTTCGTGTTGAGCTGCCGATGTAAAGGGAGTACGAGAAACAAGTGTTGAAATGCGGTGAAAATCTCAGGTACACTGTTAAACAACAATAATTGACATTTTTTTAAAAATAAAATCAGTAAATGCTCTTATACCCGGCAAAGTTGCGTAATATGGTACACAAAGAAATGAAGAGAAAATTGCAAAATCCTACCTTAGAAGATTTCACTGAAGAACCAAACCATATACATCACTGTATTGTTACTGCGGTGATGCGAGTCCAAACACTATACCTACAGTAATGGTAATTAAGGTGGTAGTAGCAAAATTAAAGTGGTAATATTTTATTTTTTGGTGGTAGTAGCAAAATTAAAGTGGTGGTAGCAAAATTAAAGTGGTAGTAGTTTATTTTTGGGTAGTAGTAGCAAAATTAAGGTGGTAGTAGTCTATTTTTGGGTGGTAGTAGCAAAATTAAAGTGTTAGTAGTCTATTTTTAGGTGGAAGTAACAAAATTAAAGTGATAGTTGTACGTATTTAGATAGTAGTAACGTATATAAGCTGGTCAGTAAAATAGATTTTCCCAGGACAGCCGTAGTAAGAATTACGTTGCTCGTACTTTGAGAATTCCACGGTCTGCAGTTCATTATACTTGGAGTAGGTACATTGAAACGGAAATAAGGTTCTAGCAGAAGGAGATCGTCTGCTGAAGCTGATGATTACTTCATCGTTATAAAATCCTTAAGGAATCGAAGATCAACCGCAGTTTCTCTAAAAAATGACCTACGAAACGTACGTAGAGCAGATGTAAGTGTAAGTGAAAAACGATACGCAAAGATTAACAGAAGCTGGACTTCATTCGCGGAAACCAGCTACAGGACCACTATTACTTCCTCGACATCGATAACAGCGAATGAGGTTTGCAAAATTGCATATTGCTGGACTGTACAACTGCACGGGTAATGTACTATTCATCAAGTATTTATTTGAGATCGACGGATGGCTGTGAGCGAGTATACAAACCATATAGAGTAAAGTACGTGTCTGAGAAAGGTATTTGAAGAATGCGGACACAATATAGGAATATAATCAATTTACTACAAAACACATTTAAAAAACAGCAATATATTTTATAGATTGCAACCTATATACAAGCGGAAGAGAGTACACGTGGACTTGACGTCACCACTTGAAGTCCCCGAAAAAAGTGAAAACCACCACCATTAAAAACCTGTGGTTCACTAATGGTCTGAGCAGGAATATGTAGCGAAGCACGTACCAATCTTGAATTTGTTCAAAATAGAGCTCTCAATGCCCGCCGTTATATTGAGGATGTCCTCCAAGAAGTTGTTATTCCATTTGCTCCTTTCATTGAGAAACAGTTTATACTGATGCATGATAATGCCAGGCCCCACGTTGCGCGGGTAATTAACGAGTACCTGGATGAGTTTGGACAACGATTCGAATGGCCTCCTTGTGGTCCGGACTTCAATCCAATCGAACATTTGTTGGATGAACTTAAAAGAGCTGTGCGTTGTCGTCCTGTTCTACTACAAATTTTACAAGAGTTAAGGCTAGCATTAACGGAGGAATATCAAACTATAGATCAAGAAAGAATAACTACCCTTATTCATTCGATGCCACGAAGGCTGCGAATTGGTATTACTGCGAGGGGTTATTTTAAAATTATTGTTCTTGTCTCTTGTCAATAAAATAATCTTTGATTTCAATACTTTATTTAAAAATGTGTAGCTCGTAAAAGAATAGAGGTAATGGGATAATTAAAAAAAAATAGAATGTTAGAAATACATCTAAGATTGCAGGAAAGTGTTTTTTTATCCAAAACGCCCGTCTCATTTTTTACACAGGATGTTTTAAATTTATTGCAAAAAATAACGTTTTGATTTACCCCCACATGAACCCACCTAACCGAAGAATACCGGGTACGTCTCAAGAGTGGCTCATCCCTATAACTTTTTAATTTTTTTAGATAAAAAAAAAACCATTTGGTATGTATGACATAAATTAGGATTGACTGACGTATATTCAATTGTTTTCACTCCCTGCTTCACCGGAAATGACTACAACTTTGGATTTTTAAATAGCACCCTCGGTATTTATTTACTTTATTCGATAGAAAATGACACTCTGAATAGAATGACATATCATATATATATGACATAAACTTTTGACATTTTCTCTTATGGTTTATTTGAAATTGTAACATGCGGTTCATAACGATAATTTAACTCGAAATACCAAGTGTGTGGTATCAAATTATCCGTAATTTTTTTTTCCATATATGCTAATGAGCCACCCTCATTCCTTTAGAAAAAATTGAGATATGATTAAAAATACGATTTGGTCGTCTTTTAACCGGCCAGGACAAGACACGAAAAACATTAAACGATCAAATCTGGTTTTTTTCAAGGATCCTTGATTAAAAATCAGTATTTTGAACACAGCCATAGCACTCTATATTGAAATTTAAAAATTTTTTTAAGCGTGAATGTTAAAAGTTGACATATGATATGCCATTCTATACAGAGGATCATTTTCTATCGAATAAAGTAAAAAAAGACCGAGGGTGTCATTTAAAAATCAAAAGTTGTAGTTCTTTCCGGTGGAACAGGAAGTGACCGCAAACAATTGAATACGTCAATCAATCTTAATTTGTGTTATATAGGGTGGTGACAATTTCGATGCCCAACATTGGCATCTCAGAAACTACAAGAGATACGAATTCGATTAAATGGGATAAAAGTTGCGTAATTAGAAGATTGACAAATACGAAACCTAGGAAGAAAATCCTGGTATCTTGATTAGTTTCGGATTTATGTCAAAAAATGAAAATAACGTTTATTTTAAATGAGAATATCTTCAGAACTATTGTATCTATTGCAACGTAAGTTGGTAGTTTTATATTTTTGACCCCGGCCAATTAAATGCGGTTTTCAGAAAATTTCTAAGCCTTCTAGATTTCGCACAACTACAGTCAAGTTTTTGTTTTCTTATGGCCGCCATTTTGAATTTTTATACTATTAGATAGAGCAAAAAATAATCTATACGGTTGTATCTAATTTTTATTTATTATTATGTAAATTCACCAAAAAAAAGATTTTTTAAAAATTCTAAAAAGTCTACCTTGGAAATTCAATTGACACTTTATATGACAGCAAGTTAATTGTTGTTGTGCGAGACAGCAAGACTGTTGTTGTGCGAAATCTAGAAGGCTTAGAAATTTTCTGTAAACGGCATTTAATTGGCCGGGGTCAAAAATATAAAACCACCAACTTACGTTGCAATAGATACAATAGTTCTAAAGATATTCTCATTTAAAATAAACGCATTATTTTAATCAAGATACCGGGGTTTTCTTTATAGGTGTTTGTCAAACTTCTAATTACGCAACTTTTGTCCCATTTAACCGATTTCGTATTTATCGTACTTTCTGAGATACCAATGTTGAGCATCGAAATTGTCACCACCCTGTATACTAACATACCAAATCTTGGTTTTTTTTATCTGCAAAAATAAAAAAGTTATAGGGCCAAATAAATAATGCTAATAAATTTAACTTCATACTAATACCATAATCATAAATATCGGATTACAAAATAAAAATTTATGAAACAACCAAACTTAGTCAAGTTTTTAGGGTGGCGGAATTTTGTGCCGGGGAGTATATTTTACCCCAATATCCAATAAATAAAGTTAATTACCTTTCGATAAATTAGCGAAGAAATGGCAATCCGTGCCCTCATTCCTATCGCCGATAATCCAAACATGCCATGATGGTTCAAGAAAATAGTAACAATTGATAAGCCTATCAGTAATGACGCTGAAATATATAAAGATGCCTTGTCATTTGCAGACCAGATTCAAAATCTCGATAAGCCAAGCCAGTACCACCGGCTGTGGAGATCTAAAAAAAACAACAAACATTTAATTCACTCTGTCGTATTTCCTTGAAAATAATTATACTATTGTTAAGTATTCTTTATCTAAGTTAAATATTGAATGAACGCTATTCCAAAATTTTTAAATTTCGTAAACAATGAATTTTAAGCACGTGTAGTCTAGGCGGCTAATTGTAAGGATTTGCAAAATTAAATTTTACTAAGGAACAGAATAGGGGGGGAAGACTATATTTTTATTATCTGAATAATTTTGAAACATTAAAGCATGATATTAATGATCACAGATAAATGAACAGTCTAAATGTATCATCTGCAGAGCTGATTAGCGTTATTGACATTTTCTATTTTCTAACACAGATACAACAAAAACTAAGATATACAGGGTGCTACAAATTCGAGGTACGAGCATTGGTATCTCGGTAACCGTAATAGATACGAAGATGGTTAAATTGGTATAGGATGTTCACCAAGATGCGATCAAAAAAGTTTTAAAATTTTAAAGAATTACTGGGTTTTTTGGAAAAAACGGATTTTCTTGAAAATCAATTTTATTTTTTTCTGGCGTTACTGTTTAGAAAATCAAAAAACTAATTGTACAGGGTGGGTCAAATTCGACGCTTTTAAATGGAGACACCCTTTTCTAAAGGAGATAGACAAAAACTAATATCGGTGTCTGGAGCTCAATTTTTGTCAAAAACATGATGGTGAAAACTGCATATTCATATCTGTTACCGTTTCGGAGTTACGGAGTGTTTTTCAAAAATATGCATTTTTAACAAATCGCTGTAACTTTTTTGCTATGGAAAATTATGTATTTTTATGAAAACATTTCCAAAGCACCTTTTTACGTAGAATTTAATGGTTTAAGTATAATTTTTTTAAAATTAATAATTTAAGAATTATCAACAAAAAATTTGATTTTTTATATGGGACACCCTGTGTATTTTTAATCTATTGAAAATAATTTAAAATTACCTTTCCAAAAATATAGCATACTTGATATCTTGCTCGATTCCTTTTCGAGATATAGAGTATATAAAATTCGCCCGCTTTAAATAAGTAGGCTTTGAACGGCACCGGCTGTAATGCAAAAAAGTTCTAGCTGTGAGCATCAATTAAAACGAATATTAAACGAAATAATATTTGCTATGAGAGATGCAGAATTTTATAACCATTTAAAATATATTTACCAACATCAACACATTTAAACTATATCTAATAACAATAAAAATAAATAGCAAACCAAGACATGAGATTTTGCTACAGGTGTTCGACATATAGACCGTCTTCTGTTATGGACAGATGGGGCAGTTTTTGAGCATTTCTCGCGGAATTCATTAACTCAGTAGGGGTGAAAGATACCCTCTCATAACTGCTAAGTATTTCTAATTCTTGTCTAGATTATACGGAAGAATAAGGAACCTTTATTCTTCAGCAAATATATCCATAGGATTAGATCCATGGGCACTAAGTCAGGCGGCGTCGACGGCCAACGGCTGGGATCTTGGTTAGCTATTCAATTATTCTTGAAATTGGCTGCAAAAATTTGCTGATAACTTCAGCGTTCAGAGGCGGTACGTCGTCTTGCTGGAAAAATATGTTTTCGAGTTCCATTAAGGGCATATCATCAATAAGGGGTCCAAAGCCTACTAGTTAACAGTGGCAAACTTTTAAAAATTCTGTATTTCAAAGGGGATTAGAACAAAATATCAAGTGTGCTATATTTTTGGAAAGGTAATTTTAAATTCTTTTCAGTTAATTAAAAATATACAGGGTGTCCCAAATAAAATATCAATTTTTCTGTTGATAACTCTTGAATTATTAATTTTAAAAAAATTATACTTACACCATTAAATTTTACGTAAAAAGATGCTTTGGAAATGTTTTCATAGATATACTAAATTTTCCATAGCAAAAAAGTTACAGCGATTTGTTAAAAATGCACATTTTTGAAAAACCGAAAAAAATTTTGTAATACCGAAACGGTAACAGATATTAATGTGCGGTTTTTACCATCATATTTTTGACGAAAATTGAGCTCCAGACACCGATATTAGTTTTCGTCTATCTCCTATAGAAAAGGGTGTTTCCATTTAAAAGCATCGAATTTGACCCACCCTGTACATTCTCATGGCTACTTTATTAGGGCTATCTGATAGTATTTTTATATTTTCAAACTAGCTGATAATTTGTGATATCCAGGGCCAACTTAATTTTTTTAAATACGGACCTGCATTTTTTATTTCAAGTTTTGGAAGAACTCTGTCTCCTGAGTACAATGGTATAACAAGAACAAAACTATTTAATTATTATTTAAAGTAATTTCAAGTTTGACTCTGGTTTTTAAAATTTTTTAATCTGATTATATTCATCGCAACAATATGGATCAGCACTAATTAACATTGAATAAGGAAAATCGAGCCAATTGAAAGATTCAAATAAATAATATCGAGGTCAGCAATTTTAACTTTTTTTATTGTGAATTTTAAATCTCAGTGTACGATCTAATTATATGCATAATATTAATCGCAGTTATAAATAAATCAACTTCTACAAACTAGTTTCTAATGCTCTACATGTTCGAAAGGGTTACCACCGTCCCCTAATGTACAAATGTATTTTTCGTTCAATATTTATAGCTCTTTGAACATATCTTCTTCTTATACTTCCGAATGCATTCTGTAAATGAATTGTAAATGTTGAAATGTATTGATTTCACTTTTAAAAATCACGTCAAGTAATGCCCAATAATTTTATATTATTTGTTATTATTTTATTGCATTTGATTTTCCATATTCAATGTTTTACCCCACGTCATTGTTAAGTTTGGAAGCTTGTCAATATTGTAACGATGAATAGATTAAATATTTAAAAAATCAGAGCCGGATTTGAAATAAGTTTAATTAAATTGTGTTCAAATGTCCGAAACAAAAAAAAATATTAAGTGGGGCATATCATTGTACTCAGGGGACCGAGTTCTTTCAAAATCTGAAATAAAAAATGCAGGTCCGTATTTAAAAAAATTAAGTTGGCCTCTGTATCTCACAAATTATCAAATAATTTGAAAATCTAAAAATACTATCAGATAGCTCTAATAAAGTAGCCATGAGAATGTGCAATTAGTTTTTTAATTTTCTAAATAGTAACGCCAGGAAAAAATAAAATTGATTTTCAAAAAATCCGCTTTTTTTCCAAAAAACTTTGCAATTCTTGAAATTTTTAAAACTTTTTTGATCGCATTTTGGCGAACATCCTAAAACGCACCTTTGCCCCAATTTAACCATCTTCCGACATTTTGAATTATGCGAATCCGACGTCAGACTCATGATCAGCGACCCAAAAAAACCCCTATACCAGTTTTGGTTAAGATGCGTGCGATCCGGTTTTTTGAGCTTAGAAAAAATATGAGACATGCTCGCTCAATTTTGATGGGTGTTTTGAGTTTATCAGGCCCATTTACATTAGGTTATACTGTTATACATAAGAATATTTTTTTTTTTTGATTTTTTCCTACTACATTTTCTTGAATTTTTACGGATTTTTACCATGTTTTTGAGGTTAGAAAAAAAAACTGAGATGTGATAGCCCAATTCTGATAGCGGATTCGTGCTCAGTGTCGAAAATATATTTAAAATAACAAAGACGCTACCAATTTGAGTATGAAGCGACAACACTGTAATGCTGAAAATAATATAGACAAATGTAGCAGGTGCCTTTATGCAAAAATCTAACTGACTTAATGCACTCCATAGATATCTTTATTTGAATATGAATATTTAAAGGTCTTATAATATATATAAACATTAGTTGTCAATTTTTTTAACGTACAAGATTAGCGTCACATTACTTTGAGAGTCTTGTTCAAAAATTAGATTAGAAAACTTTTAAATTAAAACCATTTATATTTTATCTCGTATTTGTTTAGTCTCATTATTATAGAAAACTATTTTTAAAAATAAATGGGGTTTTTAAAATTTCTTTTTTTCTTTCTTAAATGAGCAAAACGGAAATAGCCAAATATTATAATCATTTTGGATTGTTTTGTGTAATTATAATTATTGTCAAACATTATATTGTCAATAAAATCGTTCACAAGTTCTGATTCCCATACATTACCATCGCTATTTTTAACACAATCTAGTTCAAACACTACGGATAATAATTCTAGGAATATATTTCTATCAATCCTTAGTTACTTTTCTTTTATTTAGTTCCACATTCATACAGTATGTCTCCGGATTATTTTTACAAGAGGAAACACTTTATAATTAACTTTTTGAGAAAAATTTCTTCATAAAAGTTTTTGCTTGTTCTAAAATGGTTAATCCTGTTTATACTTTTCCAAATGTCCATACCGTTTTAGAGAAAATTAAAAAATACATGAAAATACAGTTGATTTTTTTCTTAAAAATTCAACTGTATTTTCATTAGAAATTCATTGAATTATTTAAGAAAAATTTTCTTAAAAAAAAGAAAAATTTTCTTAAAAAAAAGAAAAATTTTCTTAAAAAAATTTATTTTTAGGGAAATTGATTTTTTTCTTAAAAAGTCTTAAAAATCAAGACGCGTTTCTATGGTAATATAATTTCGTTAAAGAAAGCTAGAAACTAAAGAAGAAAACATTCGATCAATGTGTACTACCAGTCATGATCTATGCATGCAAAACCTGGACACTTATAACGGATATCATAAGGAAACTTCAGGTCGCACAATGCTCAATGGAGCGAAATATGCTGGAAATAACCAAGAGAGATCGTGAAAAAATAGAGTGGATACGACAAAAGACCCAGGTAAGAAATGCCATCCAAAGAATCATCCCTCAAATGGCAATGGGCAGGATACCTGGCAAGAAGAACGGACAACAGATGGACAAGAAAAATTACAGCATGGTAAGTAAATTTATTGAAATAAATAAATCTAATGCATAAGCTATACCTATTCTGCTTATATTCTAATC